AGGAAGGAAGGAAGGAAGGAAGGAAGGAAGGAAGGAAGGAAGGAAGGGGAGAGGGAAATCTATATTGAGAATGCATTATAGAAGCTATGCATCATTATGATGCATGTTAAAAAATGGGGCTTTGCATAGCTATGGCCACCATCTTTGCTTTTTTGACTCCCTGGACACCCATGGATAGATGGGGAAAAAGATAAAAGGAGAACAGAAAGGCAAATAGATATTTTGCTATCTAATTATATCTGTATAATCAATATACTTCTTTCCACTCTTTGTGTGTGTGTGTGTGTGTGTGTGTGTATTTCACATTTTGATGAAACCATAGCCAATAATAATAAACTAAAGAAAGTCAATCCAGAAATAAAAGAGTTACAAAAATTTTGATGAAAATGTGGTCACTGATAATAAAAGTACCTAAATGAAATGATTAATAGAGTGTTGAATTGTCCTGTGGTGAGTTTTCCTATGAATAGTTGACCACAGCAAGCTATCCCATTGGCAAGTTGGTTGTGGTAAGTTGATCAAGGTGAGTTGACTGTGATGAGTTGGCCATGTCAAGTTGTCCTAGAACCCCATTAATTAGAGATATTAATCACAAATCAACATGCTATATCAATTACGTGTAAGTGAAGAGTTTCTCTAATTTAGATACCAAAATTTTCTTGTAATATCTTGATTTCAGAAAGATTTCCAGATATAGAAAAAATAATGAGAAAAGTTGTAGATGAAAAACATCAATTATAAAAAAAGGCTATATCGAAAATCTCTTATACACTACAAGCATACACACACACTTCATCTCATTTACAACATGCCCATGTTTTTCACCCATTTAATTATCATCTAAAGCTCTTTTTTGTCAAACTTGTAAAATATTGATATAAATGTAAATAATTTGGGTATGTAGTTGTTCTTTGCCAGTTTTCAATCATGGATGTTCATGTATTGACTCTTGTTTCTTTTATCCATCAGTTACACCCTAATTTTCTCTTGGTCTTTGGTACACCACAATTGCTTTGGTTCACCTTAGGTGTTGCATTTCAATGTCCTTGTATCAGGGGTGGGTTTCTATCGGTTCTGTCCACTTCTGTAGAACCAGTAGCTCTGAAGAGAAGCAGACATAGAACCGGTTCTATGTCTGCTGATGCTTTTCTCACCCTCCCACCTGGGCTCTTACCTGATCTTTATTTCTTGATTTTTCAACTTCAGCTGCCGAACGAGGCACGGCTGCAGTTTAAAAAGCAGGAAAAGAGGGCTGTTTCAAAGACTGCTTCTCTGCATGGAGTGCTGATGACGATTTACAGGTGCGCTACTCGCAGCATGCAGGGAAGCACATCATAAATCACAAAACCTCATAAATCCCGAACCAGTAGTTAACCCTATCGTATCCCACTCCTGCCTTGTATACTCAGGTGGACTTACATACAGGAGTTTGTAAAACTGAATATTCATCCTGTAGTTCATTAAGCTAATCATCCATTATGATCACCAGAAAAGGTAATTTGATAGGCAAGCCTGCTAGGTTACATCCACTCAAACCTGACTTCTACCCAGTTCAACTAGCCCATGATTTCTTATTTGCAAAATACCCTTCCAATATGAAGATTGTATTTTATATGGACAACACAGGCATAATATTTGACAAATTGCACTAGTTGGTATGTACATTAATCTTTGTCAAGGCCCTTCCCTGGATAATTCTGCCAAATGCAGTTGAAGGGAAGACTTTCTTCAGTGCTACTAAGGCTATAAAATGGGAATTCCCTTGAAGGCTCACTTATCATGCAAATTGCACCATTTTTATATATAAAGTTATTTCCCCAGAAAATATAGAATGAAATAATATGGTGTCAACCAATGTAGCTGAATACAAGATAACAAAAAACTGAAAAATAGTTAAAACTAGTTAATTCATTGTCCCTAGGTCTGCTGATATCCATCAACCGAGATGGTTTTAAAGATTAGATAAACAAGAGAAGTAAGGCTGATCAGAAACACTGTATGTTCTGAAAAACTGTGCTGAGTAGTCAGGACTGAAAATTGCAAATGATGTGTCCACTGTGGGTAAATGAGTGACTATCACTTCCTGAGTCAGCACTGATTAAAAATCAAATAAAAATGCATACTGATTTCAAGAAGCATCACTCATGGAATGAGTCAATTATATTAGCAGGAATTTGCCTGTGAAATTTTGAAGAATGTTAAAAGAAAATTTATAAATATCCTTTAGAATTAAGAGTTTACACTTGTTTAGCCTGAAATTGTGAAAAGGGGACAAGATGAAATAAAGCTATTCTACTACTGTTGCTCTAAGAACAAAATTTTATCAAGCAGACTGGGGTTTGTTTGATTGCAGGGTTGTAATGTTTGTCTTTCTGCCTGAAAACAGCATGGCATGTATTTGCAGCAAATCAAGTTCACAGTAATTCTAGAAGGAAAAGGCAAGAATTGGAACAATTACTACAGTTGATGAATAAGACAGGATTTATCAGTTTTGGGAACTACCCAAAGGAAGGTACAATGAACAGGATAATCTCACCAACTGAGCTTCTTTTGGAAGTGGGACTTAACAAGCAGTGTTGGATAATTGAATAAAAATATATGTTATACCATATCACTATAGTAACACTAACAGATTTGTACAGAAAGGTGGTCTTTTCAGCCATTTTATTTCAAAACCATTTGAACAGGAGAATGTTTATTTTTTATACAAAATGACAATTAAGGCTGTTACATAGACATATTCAGGATTGAGGCACATAATAATTTAAGAATCCAAAAGTATCTTTGAAAAACAAATGACTTTATTGCAGCACTTTTAATAATTTTGCACAATTATATTTTTGGGAAAAAAAACTGTTTTGCATAATTGTTTATGAATCAGATGTCATACATTAATCCTGTAATACAATATGCAACTTTTCCATAGGCTCCATCAAAGTTGTGCATAAATTTATGCATGGTGCTTAATATAACCAATTCACTAAAAGTAGAAAATGGAATTTTTGTAATAAATGGAATTTTCTTTTTTTTAAATAGTTGCAGAATACGTTCATTGATCTATTATGATCCCAAAATATTTTTCCTGTCTTGTTGCAGACAGTTCTGACCCAATCAGCACACAAAATTAAAGGTTTTTTTTTATCCAAGTTAATTATTTTATACTTAAGACTGAAGTCACTGGTCACAAGGATGCAGCACATTATTGTATTCATCCTTATTTGGAAATTAAGGCTTTGAAAGTCAGATTTTCTGTATGGGTTCAAAATCTTTAATGGATACTGAATTAATGCACTTTTGCACTAATGTAATGACTATATACATTGCATTAATTTCATGAGTCATTCAGGTCTTGAAGCTTTTTTTGTCATTTCACTGAATTTAGTGATTTTAAAGACTTCAGTAACTCTTCAGAACTGATTTTGAGTAATTATACATAAACTATTACTATGGATAGATCTACTACATGTATATATTTACTATATATATTAGTGTGTGGTGTATGTGTGTGTATATACACACATGCACTCAAATATATATTATTTGATTAATAGTATTTTATCAATAGTATTCTTTTTTATTGGTAGTATTATACAGTTTGTACATGACTAGCTCTTACCTCTAAGTCAAGTTATTTATTAACAAGTTAAAAAGCATTGACTGCATCAGAAATCCTTGAGGAACTCAATTTTTTATTTCACCCCTATGAAATTTCCCATTTATTCCTACTCTTTGCTTTCTTCAGGGCTCCTAACTTTCATCATGAACCTTTAATGAGAAACTTCATGAGCAGAACCAACAATCTAACATGGCAGTAGTAGGTTTAACATAACATCCTTGACAATTGTTATATTACTATGCTGTTATATAGCCATATGTATATATGGCTATATATTGGTGTATTCTATTTTGTTTTGGTATAGTTAATTTTTGAGCATTGGTCCACAATCCCAAAACTCTTTGATTGTAATTGTTTTCTAAAAGCAAGTTACTTTCTTCATTGCCAGTCATCCTTATTGTCCATCCATCAAAATCCATGGTTTTTATTGATGAAATGATAGAATGTACTACTCCTGTAGTTTCTTATACTAAGAGCTAGGAGTTGGTCTCTTTTTTAGTTGAATCCAGATGCCTTTGCTTGGACGAAGAATCAGTTCTGCAACCATACCAACATCCTCATATTTCTGCTTCGTTTCAATCCAAAAATGTCGCAATATGGTTGCTAAAATTATCTTTTCTTCTACCAGGGCAAAGCGTTGACCTATATATGAGTTTCAAAAGTAAAGGCATTAACTGAACTGTGATACTAAATATTTATTCTCTAGTGATAATATTTATCCAATGTAATTCAACAACAGTCAAGATAACAGATTGATTGGTTAAGGCTGCACAATACATGAAACTCTAATAATGGCTCAGCCAAAACATCACTGAGTGATATTAGGAGATATATTCTATCCTTATTAAGCAGCTAGCATTATTATACAGATGTCAAATCAAAGCCATTCCATTGGGTAAAGCAGCGTAATAGGAAGTAGACAGTACTATGGTAAACACATTGAAAATAAATTTTATATCCTTCTAACATTCTCTTCAGCTGCAAAACTTCTTTACTGTGAGACTTTTCAGAGGATTGATATTCCATCATTTTACTGAGTCTTTGTATCTTTGGGGTTATATCACCCATTGCTTTCAAACATATTGAAATTTTTTGTAATCACTAAACCGGTAAAACCATTAATGAGAATAATCCATGCACTTGGTTGTTCTCATTAAACATGATTAAATTATAATGATTACCCATATGTTAACATCATTGGCAATGAAGTTTGTTTGATGATAAAGGCCTCTGCTCCATTTAGAGGTACAAAAGAGAAGAAAGGAGCAACGAATACATGAATCTTAATTTATAAAGAAATTATTCATATTGTAGGAAATAATGGATGCTGGTTCTATCTCAGCAATATAATGACAGGCCTAATTTTTTCTAGTGCAAAATACAAAATATTAGACTGAAATTACTAGTTAAATAAACACACAATGTCTTTTTATCTATATCTTATGCACATTTTACTCCTAAGCAAAAACAGAGAAAAGTAATATAATTATTGTAGGAATTAAAAGAAATATATAAATTATCTTTCTGTTCAGTGCTGGATTCCATGAAATAATGGCTTAGACATGACCACCACAACTCATTTAAAAACCTCCAGTCCAGGGATATCCAACATTGTTCTAAGCAAATGCTCCACTACTTATCAACTTCAATCATGTGGCCATACTTCCATTGCCCTTTGACCCGCCTTCCACTTCTAAAGAAAATAAGTTCTGCCAATTCTCAAACGTATCAGCTTTTTAGATATTTGTAGTGTTTTTATTTCTGGTCTTAGACTGCTCTTTTAGAAGCTACATATTATCTCTCTTTTAATTATTCCCCATACCACTAGGTTTCCAGATCGTTGTCATTATTTATATGCCTTTGTTATTTTCTGCATAATTATTTTAAAGTGTGATGTCTTGAAACATCCTTCTTGATATTTTCTTCCAAGAAAGCAAGCATGAATTGTGACACTTCTAGGAGTTACTCCAAATGTTTATACTGTCTGGTGAGACCACATTTGGAATACTGCATCAATTCTGGTCACAATACAAAAAGGATCTTGACCCCTAGAAAAAGTGCAGAGAAGAGGAATAAGATGATAAGGATGATAAGGAAGCTAAATCATACATGAATGATTGAGGAAACTAGGCATGTGTAGTCTAACAAAGAGAAAGACTAGTGGTAATGTGATAGCAATCTTCCAGTACTTGAGCACAGACACCGAGAAGAGGGGCTGGATATATTCTCCAAAACACCTGAGGGCAGGACAAGAGCTACTGGATGGAAGATTACTAAGGACAGATCCAATCTAGAAGTAAGGAGAAATCTCTTGACAGTAAGAACAATTAATCAGTAAGAACAATTAATACCTTTGAAGTTGTGGGTGCTCCAACACTTTCAAGGGGAGATTGGACAGGCATTTGTCTAGAATTATATAGGGACTCCTAGCTGAGGAGGGGTTGGACTAGAGAATCTCCAAGCTCCCTTCCAACTCTATTATTCTATGTTCTAATTATTACTTCTTTGGGGGAAAATGTCATCATTACAAGAAATATCATTCTTCAGAGAACCAAGGGATATACAACTTTGTTCTGTGTACATACCAATGCAATTCCTGGGCCCAGCAGAAAAAGGGATATAAGAATATGGGTGTCGCCCAGCAGAATTCTCAGGAAAAAAACGCTCTGGTCTGAATTTCTCTGGCTCTGGAAAATTGTCAGGGTCTCTATGCAATGCATATGGCAGAATCATGATATTGGTCCCTTTTGGTATCTTATATCCTCCTGCCAAAGAACAACAAATATTTGTCATCCCATGATAGCAATAGCATTTAGACTTATATACCATTTCATAGTGCTTTATAGCCCTCTCTAAGTCATTTACAGAGTCAGCATATTGTTCCCAACAATCTGTATCCTCATTTTACCAACCTCATAAGGATGGAAGGCTGAGTCAACCTTGATCTGGTGAGAATCGAACTGCTGAAATGCTGGCAGTCGGCAGTCAGCAGAATTAGTCTGCAATACTGCATTCTAACCACTGTGCTACCACAGCTCTTTAAGTTGATAAAGTCCAATAGCACAAAACTTCTCCTTACAACCTGTTCGGAGTACCTACTAATATAGCATTCCTCCTTCAGAATACGGGCAAAAATTGGAACAGAAGGGAAAAGACGAAGTGCTTCTTTAATGACACACTCCAGATATCGCAGTTTTTTTAAATCTTCCATTGTGATGTGATGGTCAGAATCACCTGATAAAAGAGCAAAAATATGCTAGCTCAATAAGGTAATTACTACAGAAGAGTTATTAACTCGGATACAAAAACATTTGCATGCTTGTGGTAGAACAGCTTTAATTGCCAAAATGTGTTAGAACTGACTGGTAATGTCCTTATCAGAGAACACTATGTACGGCACTGGTCATCTAGCTTAGATATAGGCTCTATCTATTTATAAAATGATAAATGAAAGTCTTGTTTAACCAGAATAAGGACTAGGAACTGGGCATGTCTAGCCTAATGAAGAGAAGTCAAGCTAGCAATATTTGAGAGGTTGTCACAGAGAGAAATCGTCAACCTATTCTCCAAAGCACCTGAGGGCAGGACAAGAAGTAACGAATCAAATGCCATCAAAGAGAGATTCAACCTAGAATTAAGAAGAAATATTATTAAGTGAGAACAATGAATCAGTGGAATGGCTTGCCTCCAGAAGTTGTAAATGCTTCATCACACTTTGGAGGTTTTCAAGAGATTGGACAGCCAATTTTTCAAGAATTGTATAGGGTATCTTGCTTGAGCAGGGGTTGGACTAGAACAGCAGTTGCCCAGTGGTGGGACATGGAAAAATTTTGGTGGGCTGCAGTAGAAATGGCCCCCAAAAGCAATTAATCTGGGCCATGCAGTTTTCGTGCCTCCCAGCTCTCTGAGGGTTCCCAGAGTCAGGTCCCTGAGATGCATGCGCCAACCAGCTCCTACACCCGGCAGAGGCGGCAACAGCAGTCCCCTCCCCAGCGCCCTCTGTTAGCTCTCCCCATTAGTTCTCTAGGTTTGAATTGCTCCCACCTCTCTTTCCTCCCCTCCCACACCCACGTGCAGGCAGGAAAGGAAAGGGAGACGGAGCTGTGCACAGCTCTCCACGCTCCCACCCCTTGCTGCCTCTCCCAACATCGAAGCCTCGGAGATGCAGGCAAAGCCACCACAGCGGTAGCGCCCTGAGTTGCCTTAGCATACTCAGTTAGTTAAGAATCGGCTCGGTCTCCCTTTCCTTTCCTGCCTGCACGTGGGTGTGGGCTAGAAATTCAAAGCTAGAAAACTAATGGGGAGAGCGTGGGAGCGTGCATCTCAGGGACCTGAGCCGGAGGGCATGGGAACTGCAAGTGGGAGTATTTGATTATTTCGAAGAACTCCTGGAACATGGTAGAGTGGCACTTTGTAGGTCTCAGTGAAGGAGTGAGCTTTGTTTCATTTCCTTTCCTCCCCTGGTAATGTGAGACATGCTTTCTCTCTCCCCCCACCCCCAAATAATCACTGGCTATGGTTGGGTTTGTCAGCAAAGTGCTAAAGCGAGCAAAGTGCCCCCAGGGACACCTTTCCTTGCCTATCTGCAGGTGAGGCTGCAGATCTGAGCCTCTCAATCCTCCACCTGGGATCTGAAAAGAGCTCCCACTTTCTCCCCCTCCTCTTCCCCAATTAATCACCAAGAACGACAGTCCTTCTGCAGGCAGATGCCTGCTGAGAAGCCCAGGCGCTGCCCCCCACGGACAGCAAAGCCCCCTTTCTGCCTCTGCTTCTCCTAGCGGCAATTGCCCGGAGGCCCCTCAGCTCAGACACACAAACACACACAGACACACACACACGGCCCACCCTTCTGTCTCTTTGGAAGGTGCCAGGTGAGGGGAGGCTTTCAGCCCAGAACATTTTATTTTGTTATCATTAAGCATTTACATTTTTGTTATAATTAAATAAGTGTGTGTGTGTGTGTGTGTGTGTGTGTATCACGTATGTATGTGTGTGTGTATATGTATGTGTGTGTGTGTGCGCGTGCGTGTATGAAATTTATATTTAACATAAAAATTATATTAAATATATTAGCTTTTAAAAAAATGTATTAGTGGTCCTCGAAATTTAAAAGTGTGAGTTTGGTGGTCCCTGAGATCCAAAAGGTTGGCAACCCCTGGACTAGAATATTTTCAAGGTCCCTTCCAACTGTGTTATTCTGTAATTCTGTATCAAAGTCTAGGGATCAATCTAATGAAGATCATAGTCTATGTGAGAAACGTGGAATGTGAGAAAAGTGAAAGATAAAGAGAATGAAATGAAAGAAAGAGAAATGAAGATTTGCGTACTTGTGAAGCTAAAGGAAGGGGGAAATATGTAATAGTTCTAACCAAGGGGGCTCTGTCTTGTGGAATTGAATTAGTGAATATATGTCAAAAAGAAAAGATATCTCTTTAATTATGAATGAACAGGGGGTAAAATCTATGATTTTGGTATATATTGGTGTCATCTCGAAGTGTTGTGGGTATCTATTAAAATAGGAATTCATAGGCTGGTGACAGACTCATGCTATACCCTAGGGGATTATTTCACACTGAAAGTGAAATAATAGGTTTCAGGAAGTGACTTAAGATAAAAGAAGATAACGTGTCCAGGAAGGATGGGAAATTGAATGAGTACAATTGCAAACAACTCCCATTAAGAATTTAAATGGGAGAAGTATAAAGAGACCAGTATGCAGTTGTTTAAAACATTGAAGAGATTTGTACCAGGAAATGGGAGAAAACATAACTAAAGAAAAATGCAGATTAGTCTCTAGAAATCATAAGAACTCTGACAGAAAGCCTAAACCTCAGAACAAGCTGATGTTTGTAAGATACCCAAAACAGCAAAAAGGGTTCTTTGGATATGCTAGAAATAAAGGGAAAGGAAAAGAGAGTGTAGGTCCATTAAGAGGAGAAAGTGTTGAAGTAGCGATGGGTGAAAGTTAAAAACAGTACTTCTGATACCGAATTACAATTAGTTTGCAACTGTCTTTTCTTAGAGCCCTGGTCAGTCATTGCTATGTCCCTGGTGAAACAGGAACAGCACCTCTGGGTAGACAAGATGTTAAACTTAGCTCATTTAATTAAATTCACATTTCCAAAGTAAGATGGAATACCTGTCAGGAAACTAGTGAAGGAATACATGAAGGAATAATGATCTTTGAGAATTCCTGGAGGACTGTGAAGGCCCAAAAGATTAGAGAAGAACAAATGCCATTCATTTCTTCAAAAGGAGAATTCAGAAGAACTGGGAAATTACAGAATTTGACATCTACATTGGACAATGTCCTCAAAGAAATTATTCAACATCATGTTTCTGAGACCTTTAGACAGGCAAACTAAAACTAACAGGAACCAGCATGGGTTTGTTGCAAACAAATAATGCCAGGCTAACATTATCTGCTTCTTTTGATAGAACAGCTAGCTTAATAGATTAGGAAATGTCAACAAAGATTTTAAATGGATGTTCCACTATATTATCCTTCATAAAGTAGCAGTATATGGGATAGTCCTTTTCAACTCTATGATTCTATGACACTACATAAGTTTTAAGGTCATTTGTAGTCCTAGAATCAATGAGAATAAATAACTTCTTAAAAAAGATCTTTTGCTTTGAATGCAAAGCTGGAGTATAAATCTATTGAAGTTCATACATTTATACTAGACAACTCATGCCCTGATGGGTTATAATTTCAGAGATACTTCCTTACCTAAACAGAGAAACAAGGGTGAGTAAAAAAAGCAGTTTAAGAAGAAGCAACTTCCAACTTCCCACAGAATCCATTCTTCCTTTCTTCCCTCCCTCCTTCTTTCTTACAGCCTTTACCTTCCTCCCTCCCCTCTCTTCTTCTCCCCTCCCCTCCCCTTTCCAGTAGGCAGGTAACTGGCTGCAGTTGGTTAGGGGAGAGAATAAGGAAATGCAAGACTGGCTGAAAAACTGCCACTAAATTGAAAATAAAATTCATGTGACTGTGGCAGTCAGTAGCACTGAAGCTGCCACAACATCTCCAGATTTCATTTTGTCAGGAGTCATGGATCCCAGACTTTGCACACATTCTTTAAGTTAATCTACTTAAGATACCTTGGTCCAAAAATTGTTGCCCTAGGATGCATTATTTCACTTAATTAAAAGTCATGACAACAAGAGTTTTAGCAATATATAGATTATAGAGTTAAAGACTGATTGCTGAATATGACAAATCTATCAGGGTAAAGCATGCATGGGAATAAATATAATGCTTAGTGAATGATTCAGCATTAAGCAGAGAGAAATACAAGGATATGTAATGTTTCACTGGCTGTTTTAGTGTATTTATGTCAAATAAATAATGAATGTGATAACATTGAAGATGTATTTGAAGTTGGGGACATGAATATTTGTGCATTTTTGTTGCAGATAATGCTGTGTTGCTGGCCAATGTTTTGCAGCAAATTTTATATAGATTATGTATTTTGACAAGGAATTTGTGTCTGAAAAATAGTGTATCAAAAGTCAAAGTGGTTGTGTTTGACAGAAAAAAATAGATAATAGAAACTTAAATCTAGAAAATGAAAAAATAGAGTAAGTAGATGAATTTGTGTACTTTGATAGAACATTAACTAAAGACTGGAAAAAAATGGGAAATCATTTCTAAAGGTGGAGAAATGTGTTCTGAAGAATAAGTGTCTGTCAAAAGAAATTAAATGACTTCATACAAGTGTGTCCTTCTTCCTCCTTATTTAAAGGAGTTTAAAGAACAAAAGACAATGTAGACATGACACAGAAGTGGTTGAAGCAAGGATAATCTGCAAAGCTAGAAAGGTATGTAAAGGTGTTAAATAACTATATTTCTTTTTCATCTTTTAAAATGTCTTACTATTTCTTTCTTTTTCTGTGCTTTATAATGCTGCTCATGCAAAAAAACAAACATATGCTGTATGTACAGTGTTTTGAAGCTACCTTGATATGGCCAGGAATAGAAATTTTGATTCAATATCTCAAAATATTTTCAAAACCAGTTTTGACTGAACTGTAGTTTCAAAGATCAGAACACGAACATCTTAATAACATTTCTATCAGCATAAAAACCTATCATAATAATAATACTACAATCTATGATTCTTCTGGCATTTTCTAAGGCCTCATGAGTTAGTAAATTGGTATTTTGATTTTTATGGTTATTGTTAATAAGGAAATTGTCTAACTTTCTACAAATGCTCCTCTTAAAGAAAAACAATGGAACTCCCTTGATGGTCAAAAGGCATAATATTTATGGATGATCAAGATTACTTTTCAGATGTCAGCTTTCAGAGTTCCTTATTCCTCTGGGTATAATATTCCTGACCAGAATAGAATCTGTGTGAATTCTATTCAACCCCAGAATTATACTAAAATGCGTAAGAGGAAAGAAACATTTACCAAAAACTTCATCCAGTTCACTGTTAACTTTTCTTTGAATTTCTGGATGACTTGCAAGTAAGTAAATAGCCCAGTTCAAGGCAACAGCAGTGGTATCATGACCCTAGGAGGAGAAAATTCAAACTATAAAACTTTATTATAAATTTCTTAACTTGGTATCTTGTCAATGAGTTACAACACAATTACCAACAGCAAACCCTTAACAGCCATGCTGGTTGGGATCTAAGGAAGTTGTCACTCTGATACCTCTCAATATCATTAGGCCAAGGAAGCCTGCATAACTGTATGCCAGTTGATGCAGTTCAACCAAAGTCAGGCACACAATTTTCTCCCTGAAATCAATGGTCATCACAATACTTAGCTTTGGCAGGTTTACAGCAATACTTTTGCTTTTAAATAGCAATGCTGGAAGGACAACATGAAATTACAATGCAAAAAGCAATCATGAAAGAAACCTTGATTCAAAAGCCAAAATTTAAAGGGGGCAAAAAAGGATAGAGAGCTTGATTAAAAGGAACGGAGTATTTTGACTGTGTAATATATATGTGCTCACTAATGGACAACTGAACATTAAGGCTGATCTCTTGAAAGACTTGTAGATAGCCGAAGGATTGCACAGATCTATTAAATATGGTGCAGCCTAGAACAAGATCTTGTTTTATTTTTTAGTTTATTTTAATTTTGCTGTTTCTACTGGAGGGAGAAAGAAGGAAGCATGTGGGAGTTCCCGTGTTTGCATTCTCTCTCAAACATAGGAACTCCTACATGCTTCATAAAATAACAAAACATCAAAAGAAGGAACTTTAAGTGAAGGCTGCAGTTAAATTTAAAAATTTTGGAGAGGTTGAAAGCAAGGTAAAAAAATAAAGAGGTGATGCAGAGTCTATTCTCAACAGACATTTTGGAGTTTTGCTTGTTTGGCTGCTTCTTCTTGACATGGAAGAAATTAATCTTTATTTTTTTCAACTAAATAAAAAGACATGGGACATGATATACTGACAATGATTACCAATTGCTGTTGGAAGAAGTCCAGGAGTTACAAAATAGAAACTTGATGGGGCAAGGACAGGAGTGGGGGAGGCACAGACACAAAACTAGGGCTCGAATTTCCACCTTTAAAATGGTCTCTTCTCAGTTTTTATCGTTGTCATTATATAGCACTTATTTACATCATAACCACCTGGCATACTCATTATGGTTAAGGACTTTGAAAATGGATATGCCAGGTGGCTATGATGGAAATAAGTGCTATATAATGAGTCTCCCTTCTGGGGAACTTCCTTCCTAAGAGAGCCTAGTTCAAGCCTTATTCTTCCAGAGGGTGTATAATCTTATTCTTGGTCACATATTATGTGGATTAAAAAAAAACTGGTCTCTAAAATATTAGCTGCTCTAAGGATGTTTGCCATTATAGCAGAATGTAAAATAAACATGGTTAAGTGTTAGCATATTACAACTGGTAGCCTAAGGAAAAAATATTTTATTATGCTTTGTAGTCTTACAGAAGAAAACAGTGGCATTCAAAAGAGAAATGATCTGATTTCCAGTGATCTCTTTGCAGTTGTGTTCTGATCCCTTTATACCTCAAACATAAATGTATCCACTTCCTCTCGTATACCAATGTAACTCAACTTCTCCCCATCTTCATCTCTGGCATCCAGAAGCATATCAAGGAAAGCTTTCCTCTCTTTGTTCTTTCCCAGGTGATTGTTGCTGGCAGCACCCTTTTGATATCGCTCCTGTTGCTTTATTTTGCACAGTTTTTCTTCAATAACCTGAGGGAGTGGGGAGAAAACACCATTTAAATATAATTCAAGATATGCTATGTGCAACACCATGCAAAAGTACAGGTAGTCCTCAACTTACCACAATTGAGCCCAAAATGTCTGTTGCTAAGTGAGACAGTTGTTAAGTGAATTTTGCTCCATTTTTATTACCTTTCTTGCAACAGTTGTTAAATGGATCGCTGCAGTTGTTAAGTTAGTAATTGATTTTGCTTTGCAAAAGTTCGCAAAATGTGATCACATAATTCTGAGGCATTACAACCATCGTAAACATGAATCAGTTGCCAAGCATCTGAATTTTGATCATGTAACAATGGAGATGCTGCAACAGTCATAAGTCTGAAAAATGGTCATAAGTGACTTTTCTTAGTGCCACTGTAACTTTGAACAGTCACTAAATGAACTCTTGTCAGTCAAGGACTATCTGTAATGAACAGTATCTGCTATTCTTTAGGAGGAGAATATGCATTCTGATGGTAAATAAAGGGAAATCAACCACCAGCATTAGGCAGACCTAGATGGGCATTTCCTTGCTACCTAACGTAGGATCAGGCTCAAGCTATAAATCAAAAAATTGTTCTGTAAAATCAATCTGAACAGAACGACATAGGAGAAACTGTATCTCAATGAACAGAACCTCTTGTTCCATTCATCAGTATATTGAAAAACTCATAGAAGTTGGTGCTGTAAGTTGAAAAATTTTAAATGGATTGGGTAGGACCTTTAAGGTGCTCACCAATCTCAAGGTTGCATTCTATCTATCTAATTCAGGGGTCTCCAAACTTGGCAATTTTAAGACTTGAGAGTTGAAGTCCACAAGTCTTAAAGTTGCCAAGTTTGGAAACCTCTGATCTAATATATCTATCTGCCAAATTTAGAGATATCTCTAAATCTCTGAAGATTGTTTGGAAATGTAGAGTTCAGATTCCCTGTAATCTTACACCTTATCAGGATTCAGATAAAAAGCTGTACTCAAAAAAAGACTCGAAAATACTTGATCATAAATGGAAGGATAGGCAAAGGGCTTTTATGAGTACTAGGAAAATATCCCAAATCCCCGATATACCCACATATAGAGACTTTTCTGGTGGTGACAAAGCAGTAATAGTAGGTTTAGATTGGATAAATTATTGGTCCAAGAAGCTCTAGATTCAAACGGTGACACCACCACAAAGAATAGACATTTGACAATTTGGTCATTATTTCTTTATAAGGCTAAGGTAGGAAACATTTTAAAAAGCTACGTTACTGAAGTAACAGAAAAATACAATGAATCAGATGAAATGTTTTAAATACTAACGGGTGTTTCACTGATAATGGTTCATACATTCCTTCAAAGCTGTTCTCTCAAGCCAAACTCCCCGCTCACTCATGGTTTTCTAAAAGTAAATGTGCTTCATTACTGTGCTTTGCACAGCTTTTGGGATGTCTCTCAGTTACCTCAGAGAACTGTTAAGTTGCTGTTGGTGGAATAGGGAGAGAAATCCCAGAAGTGACACAAATTAGGCTGCTGCCTCTCTCAGGGAGAAGAATCATATAGACTGCCGTGGTGCAAAGCTCTCATGAAGATAAAATGAGACCACCCCCCACAGGCCTAATACTCAGATTAATGTCAAATACAAATATAAAAGAGGCATGACTGCAAAAGCTGGATACAAATAAGTTAGCAAGCTATGACAGGAAGAGGCATTCTGGAACTCACTTTATCTGTAAAGCTATGAAGTATCTTCAGGTTCATGTGATGTTGCCTTCCTTTTCCAGATATATTGTACAAAATGTTGGGCCAAAGCCATGGTGATTTCTGTCTCAGATGAATTAAATCACTCATACTAGAGTAACAAACAACAAAGTTATATTACTTTTGTAGAGTAGTTTGTTGGCTATTCATATGCATTAATGATATTACCCATTTCTGGTAAGAGATATCTTCAGAAGAAAAACAAAGTCAGGGAACACCAGGAACTTAGCGTGTAGTAATTTGTTATGTGAATGTATAGTGTACTTTTTAGTTAAATGTTAAAAGACTAGATAATGAACTAATTGACATCCCTTAGCTGGCTTGGTCTTCTGCCATAACATTTTTTTGTAATCACCAAATGTGCAATGTGATTTGACACATAGCTTGCTAGCAGTTTTGTCTCATTTTTGTATAATGTTGGAATAGGAATTGTGCAGTCTACGGTATATATGTAAAACTAATTTGTCAGTTCTGGGACTCACTAACTGGACTTCATTAATTTCTAACTGACTGTTGGAACATATTTATCTATTGGAATATATGAATATATCGCCATCTTTACACTCACCTTTGGACAGCTTTGACATAATCTGAATTTTTGTTCTTTTGTGCACCAATATTTTTGCCCATAGCTGTTTCTAGAGAAATAAAAAGGAAGGTTGTGGCCTGGTTCACATTAGTCACAAATCCATAATACTGATTGCCTAGTTTTGACTAGTTATCTCTTGTGTGTTCAAGAGTTATAATCCTTAGAATTTTGATTTAGCATGTTTATGTACTAAAGCAATTGTGATTCACTCAGTAAGGCATGGTTAAGTAACCTGGATTTGGAGTAATGTATGACCCTAGCTGTTAATGAAATTCATGACATTCACCAGCTTAGAGGGTTGAGTTAATTTATTTCCAAAGACTTGTCCTATTTTAACTGAATGCAGTGTGAAACAGAATATTTTGAGTTTGTTTTGCTGGTTTTTTTGAGGCATGAATTCTGCAGAGCTCCATTCAGAAGGAATTCTTGCTCCAGCTTTCCTCCTAGTTTCTGAGATTAAGGTCCTATAAAAGAAATACTATCAGTAGATTGTATTTCTCTTTGGCTCAATAGAAAAAGTTGCTATCTTGTTGTCAAATATCACAATAAATTCCTTTCTGTAACATAAACAGACAGATTTTTAGACTTTATTTCAGCTTTTTATATAGTGTTACTAGACAATAATCAAATCTTACCACAGATTATATCAAGGGTGCATAATACAATGTATAAACTGAAGTTGAATGGATCTTTGTCCAGATGTTGTTCAAGATTTTGAACAAGGATATTGGCTTGTTCAATCATCACCTCAAGGAAATCTACTAAGATCGTGAAATGGAAAGTTGGAGTTAACATTTTTCTTCTGGAATGCCATTTTTTCCCAGTGCTGCAAAAGAACGAATTAAAAATAATAGGGCTGTGCCAACCAAATCTTTCTTCTACACTACTATGACAGATGAGAGAAAGAGGGAGGAGGAGGAGGGAGAGGGAGTTACTGCAGATAAAGACATAAGATAACTTTTTATTTGAGCTTCATCAGATGTGAATTTTAGGCCCCAGATTTCCTAGCAACAGCAGTGTAGGCTATGGACTTTTAGGGAAGTTTACACCTGCGGGGGGGAGGAGGGGGGGCTTCCAGATCAAAGAAGGCTGCTTTCAGGAGCCTTACAATATAATAAGGGGTGTGCATAAGTGCACAATCATGCCTAACTTTCCTGTCCTATTATCCCCATTTATTCGTATCTATTTCCTGTATTCTTATTCATGTTTATACTTTTATCTATTATCTTGTAAGCAATTGACAAATCAAATAAATAAAATAAAAATATAGTAGCTTTCAGAACTCTGGACTCATACTTGTATTCTTAAAACTTCAACAAGGAATTTAGAAAAAACTCACTTCCACTGTAGATTAACTGCAGTGCTGCTCTATGTAATTTCAACAAGTGATAGCTATTAGTAACTAAAAGAGAAATCCACTTAGGTTCTGGTTAAAGTCCACCTATATAGTGAATTTTGATTATACTCTCATCTCCCCTTCAACATTTAATATCTTCAACTCTATTTTGATAACAATGATTTAACTGTAGCAAACCATGGCTTATAGCAATACATGAACCCCGCCACTTTATCTCTCTCTCTCTTTTCTATTTAGTCTTAAATTAACAATTTGAGGTATTTCTCTCAGAAGAACAGAACTAAAACCATAAATTCAGTATATTAAAATCACATTTAGGATTGACTCATAAAACTCATGACTTCCATAAACAAAACCTGATCAAAATATTGTTTTTCTTCATAAAACCCAGGTGTTGAATAAACATAAGAAGGACTTATGTTTGGCCCTATACATTAAGACCCCACACACACACATATATATCATCACATGCCAACATATAACTGTTCCACTAGCAATGGTTTGGGGATGGGTGACATTTTGACACATTTATATGGAGATGTGAGGTATAATTTCAGATATGGCAATCTCAGATCTAGCCTCTTCTCCTTTTGCCAGTGTGTTTACATATTCAGGAAGACTTAAAGAAGGATAGAGGTAATAGCTTAATCAGGTCTTAAGATTTCCACAAGACAGTGGTTCATCACATGATTCAAGACCATGCTTTAATTAACAGCAAAATAATCAAATTAAATTTTGCCTCACCTTGTTAGAAGTCCTGTTCCCAGCCAAGGTTGAAGAAATCGATAGAGATAGGACTTCTCAATAAATGTTGAATTACGCAACACTACCTGGAAAATACACTATATTGTAACTTTAAAATAAACAGGAATTGATATTTTCTGCTTTATCACTTTATATTTATGTGAAATGGGAGAGAAAATCAGAATTCTGCATCAATAGCCCAAAATCCGACAATTTATAATCTGCATTCATTAGGCAAATCAAATTAATTCCATGTTGATTGTTGTAAGGCTAATCTCACACCAGAGCATTAGCATTGGTCAGAGCCACTCAATGTTGTGCTATATGAAAATGTGAGATGTATTTCTTATACCTGCTCAACAAAACTATTAACAAAAATGTTGAACAGTATAAGTAAGAATATCAGTCTGCAATCTGATCAGAATTTTTTTTCATGTAGTATGTATCCATTAAGTTATAAACCACTGTCTCATCACACCATCAAAAAGTATTTTGACAATTGCTTTGCTCATGAAAATATTTTCATAACCTACTAAACAGCTAAACCAAAAATTAAATGACATTAGTCTCACAGGAATTCATATATTAAGTTCAGCTGATCACTGGATTGTTTTCAAGATGACTGATTGATTTATGTTGACTGATCTGTATTATTAATTTTCCTTAAAGAGGAACTATACTCTCTTTCAACCATCTGATATTTTATCTATTTTCCAGTTCTTCTTAAAACAATAACTAGAGGTAGAGCCAGAATATTTGCAAATTCTTTAAATATCCTTGCATCAAAGGATCTTTTGAATCCAGGAGATCTGAACTCATTCAAAATAAAGATTGGCTGAGATTCTGCGTGGTACAGAATAAGAGAAAATTGGACAATCCTATCTGCCATTCTACAGCCAAAATTTCAGTGCTGGAGTCAGGAGCTATATCCAATCTATATCCAACTTTTCAGAGCTGGTATTTGGCTCCACAGTATCAGAGATACTAGGTTTCTCAACCTGGTCTCTCCTCCAAGGAAGATGAGTCTGTCCAGGTCATAGCAATAACAATGCTTTGCATACATGCTGGCTGTGGTTATCCAATTTATTCATCCATGCAGTTACATTTGTTTGGAGGGGTTCAAATCTATGTTGATGAAGTAGTGGGTATGATTCTTGATCTTAAATGGTTGGTGTTAGCCTTTGAATTCCTGATAGCTTAAGGCCTATTGGAGGTATTATGTCACATGTTATAAAAAAGCCCTTTTATTAGAGTGAGACCCTTCTGAATAAACCATTGACATTGGCAGCTAGTTTATCTGAAACCTAAGAGTTGTATCTGGCAATACAACCCAGCTGTGACATTTGCTGCCTGGAAAATTGTTTCTTGCAGCCATTTTGGGAGCACAATTAAGATGCATCTGTTTCCTTGAGTCTTAATTTATTGTAGTAATTTAGTAGTAGTTTATAGTAACCTGCAGTTGTTTTAATTTATACTGATGAATGTTTACTTTTGTAATGCATTCTATTTACACACAAACACTTTGATAATAAAACTGGAAAAAAAGGCAGGCTATAAATCGTAACATTGTTTTTACCATTAAGCCAATTTATTAGAATCATGTGATAGTCTGAATCATCTGCTACACATATGGACTAGGTTTGAAAATACAGTAAGAGTAAAAAAAAAAATTCACAAAAATTGTGAATTCACGTTTCAATTCCTAGTATGAATATGTTCTTTAAATTCTCCCATACAGTTATGCATTGTTTCTGGATAGCACTAGAGGGCCCGCTTTCATCCCATCTTGTAAAGAGGCTTTACTGGTGAAAACCTGAGATGTGAGCTTTTCCAAGGCAGCACAGAAGACAGTGTGATCATGCACTGTCTCAAAGATTATTACTTATGCCTTCACATGATTTCTATCTTTAAGACCACACCCTACATTGCATTTTTATACGTACAGCCAGGTTACTTTTAATAATAGAAATTAGGAATGCAAAAGATATGCCTAAGAGACTAAGTACTCTTAAGCATTCACTCATGAGGATGTATTAGATAGACCCGCTATCATGACCATTCTCCCCACCACACTTTACTGGCAATCACATATATGCATTCCTGCCAACTTTATCTTTAGTGTATATACTAAATATGACAGAGCCAATGATTAATAGCACCAAACTAAAAACCAGATAAACATGATTTCTAGTCCAGCTTTAGACCCAAAGCCATCTCCATGATTTGGGCCAGTCACTTTCTTTCAGCTTGGGAAGAAGGAAATGGCAAACCATTTCTGAAAAAATCTTGCCAAGAAAGCTGTGGGGACTACGGTTCAACACCAGGGAACAACAGACTTAAAGGAACAACAACAACAACAAAAAGTAAAGAATCAGAGCATCTCACTTCTGTTACATTTACAATCACTCTAAGCTTTATGAAGAATTGCATTATTAATTGATGTCATTTATGATTTATAGTTTAAAACAGGATATTTAGTTTTGCTATTATATAATAACATTTTTAAAAACCCATGTGGTTTATTTTCTGTCAGTGGAAAATGACATTGGCCATTTAACCTGAGATCATCCAATATATAATATGTGTGTGCACTCACATGCATATGTATTTCAGAATTGCTAAGTTATTCTTTTAATGAATATCCCAAGTTTCATGCTACTTTAGGGTTCTTCACACTATTAAAGATGTAACCCCTTCTATACTTACCCATTTGCCTATTAAATACAATTGTTTCTAGAAAAGGGCAAACAGGATTTCACCAATAACTTTCTAAACAGAGACTTGGCAAGATATTTCTATTAGGTGATTGTCAAGAGAATCAAAATACTGGCCATCATCCTCACCTGTAAGAGACCTAGAATACTCTTGCATATGCATTGAGAATAAAGAGGGACTCACCTCTACAGTGTCTTGGTGATATAAGATAATGTGAGGGAATGGTCCTACCCAAACTTTTAGCAGTGGTATACAGCGATATTCTTCTGAAAATTTAATTACCTGTTTCCAGAAACCTGGAAAATATACATTCAATTTACAAATGGCAAGTTTATTGATCACTGTTATTTTAAATAAAATATTTACATCTGATGAGGTTTTTTGATCCTCACAAGACAAGACAACAAGATTTGCTAAGTCTTGTGCATGATACAATTTTTAAGAAACTTTTTTTTAAAGAAAAACAAGATTAAGGGCATTCTTAAGTGTGGTTAATTTAGCCGTGATATATGTGATATGCTGAGTCTCAATTATTATATTTATCAAATAATCATTTTTAAAAAAACAAAGCGTCCTATCAAATTCTGTACCTGTCAACAGTGGTGTCCCCCAAGACAGTGTTCTAGGACCAACTCTCTTCATACCCTACATAAATGACTACTGTGATCATATTAAGAGCAACTGCGTCCTTTTCACTGACGATGTAAAGCTATTCAACACCACAGACAATACTGCTACCCTTCAAAAAGACCTTGACTATGTATTAGAATGGTCAAACAAATGACAACTTCAAATCTCAACAAACAAATGCTCTGTCTTACATATTGGCAAAAAAATATCAGAAAATAAAATACAGGCTGAATAGTCAAGACCTTGTAGATGATCCAAACTCTGTCAAGGAGCTCAGAGTACTCATCTCTAATGATCTAAATGCTAGAGCCCACTGTAACTACATAGCCAAAAAGGCATTAAGAGTTGTTAACCTAATCTTACATAGCTTTTTATCTGGTAATATCACACTACTAACTAGAACATACAAAACATTTGCTTGACCAATACTCGAATACAGCACATCAGTCTGGAACCCACATTATGTATCTGATATTAACACAGTTGAGAAACTCCAGAAATATTTCACAAGAAGAGTTCTACACTCCTCTACTCATTGCAGAATACCTTATGCCACCAGTCTCGAAATTCTAGACCTAGACAACCTAGAACTACACCGTCTTTGGTCCAATAGTATATATGTATATATTTATATTTATATATTTATATACTATCCATATAGTATATAAAATCATACATTGCAATGTCCTACCTGTCAATGAATACTTCAGCTTCAACCATAACAATACAAGAGCAAACAATAGATATAAACTCTAGGTTAATCGCACTGAACTTGATTGCAGGAAATACGACTTCAGCAACAGAGTGGTCAATGTCTGGAATACTCTACCTGGCTCTGTGGTTTCTTCTCCAAACCCCAAAAACTTTAACTTTAGACTTCTACTATGGACTTCACCCCTTTCCTAAGAGGTCTGTAGGGGGCGTGCATAAGCGCACCAATGTGTCTACTGTCCCTGTCCTATTGTTTCTTTTTTTTTCTTATATGTATCCATGTATTCATAACTATGTTTTTATTTATACCTATTATCTTGTAAGCAATTGACAAACCAAATAAATAAATAAATAAAATTTAAGTATTTTAAGAATTAAGTAATTATTTAAGTATAAGTATTGACAATGCTGTAGTGCTGAAGTAAGTACTTTGAATAGAATATACAGGATTTGTCTCAAACTGAGAGAACTGCTAACCTTGCTATTTTTACTTTGCTTTGCAGATCCCGTTCAAAGATACCACAAACATTCCCTATGATTCCCAGTTAAACTGTTTGTTTAGTTTGGAGAACTTGTTGAAAGTAAACTCAAAATAACTGTGTTCTGAAATGTACTCTGTTATTAATATTACCAATCAGAATTAAACATGGATTGGATTTCAAACGAAAATAAATTTTCATGAAGTTTTATTGCAAAACACACCTAATGGTACAAAAGTATGAAACAGACACAAGGTTGTTTTGTGATCCTACCAAGTAAGCAAAAGGGTAGCTAAAAATGCTTCTTTGTGAACTTCCATTCCAGTGCTTTAAATCTTATCATTAATCTCTTAAATTGAATTTTCAATGTAAAATGCCTTGAGACTCGGCAATGATAGGAGTTTAAGAAATAAGTAAATCTAGCCAATCTAAAATCATTTATCTTGGTCGATAATCAATATTTTTAAGAGAGGGCCGGAGGGAGGGTAGGTAATCTGGAGAAATCATCTAAGAGCTGCTTTTCTTTTTCTTCTGGCAAACTGGACCTTGCTCTGATTTACGAGCTTAGTACATAAGCAAAGTTCAGATTCAGGATAGATACTGACAAGCAAGTAATCTAAAATTGGGCATATAAGGATTTCATGTAATGAGACACTATTAAATTATGAGAAATACGAATGTTTATTCTGTGAATTAAGTAAACTGGCTTCAAAAATGTTAGTTAAAGTTCTTAATAGCCATTCCCCCACTGGTCTGCAAGTAGCACTAAATAACCTAGAGACGAAGTGTTTACAAGTCAAACTGCAGGCCTACTAGGCAACGATAATGTTTAAAGAGGAAACAGCAATCAACCCACTTTAGATCGACACTTACTTGGAAAATATGCAGGCCAGCCAAAGTCAGCTTTACTTGAAGCTTCTATTGACTTTAAAGCAACCTTTTATTTCTTTTCTAGTTATCTTGCGACATAAATTGAACAAATCTGTTTATTTAGAGTGCTTAAACAAAATCTTAATAAGGCAGGGTCACTTTCACTTTGAGAAGTTATCCTTTAGCGCAGGGATGTCAAACTTGCAGCCTGTGGGCCAGATGTCTCACGTGCTGGCCACGCCCACCTCCATTTTAGCAAAGGGAAAGTCGTGATACGTCACGTGACAATATGATGCAGAGTTTTGACACCCCTGCTTTAGAGCTATTATGTCTCAATACAAACCCATAAAATGACAAATAAAGCTACATCTGGCCTATCCCATTTGAATATAAAATATAATTCTGGATACTTCTGACTTCTACCTTCCTAAGTTAGTACATCTGCACATTCTCAATCTATTCTACCCTGAAGACTCAGTAACCACTGTTAAAAACTACTATATTTATGTAAAAGTGCCCTGTCCTGTTATAGCTTTTTTTTTAATCAGTCAGTCCCACAAGATGGATCAGACCATAAAATCAACTTTTCAAGAATATTAGCATTACATTTTATTGAGATGTTGAAGTACGTTATAATAACAGAACCTTGCAGGTTTGATTGTATTTCCCTCCTTCTTATATCCCATTGAATCAGAGAGGCATTTGCCTGACTCACTTCTGATTATTATATTGCTTCTCAGAACTAAAATGTTTCACTCCACTCTGCCTCGATAATGGTTCTTGCATATGAGATAAAAATTATAAGTTACTCTTTTATAATGGAATTTATATAGTTGGACTAGAAGATTCTCTTTGGCTCTATCTGACGCTTTTCTGTTAGCTTTTTCTTTTTCTGCATAAAATCCCCATCCTATAACCTAAAATGTGTTCAGTCATAAGTACATGATACATTGTTATAATCTTCTTGGAGAATGGGAAAATCTGCCCCGGCTAGGAAACAAGGGAATATCCTCCCAAAGTAAAGCCCAAAGCCCAGCAGTAAAAGAAAGACACTGAAACACAGAAAACAATGTCTTGCTAAATCTCAAGCTTATCTCAAGTTTATCTCATTTTAGAATATAAGAGAATAAGGAGTGTGTGGGGAGGGCATCTTAGGCGTGGCGTGTTCTGTGAAGGGGTATAAAATGTATTGTTTGAATATGGAAGCTTGCTCTTCTTGTACCCAATCCCCTTGAGAAAGGACTTGAAGGCCCGTTTGCAAATGCTTATTTTCTTTAATAAACCTTTGAATTGTGAACCAGGCTTGTTCCTGTGTTGTGAGTATTGAATAATTCAGTTACATCTCACACATACTTCAAAGATTTGCCTTGCCTTCTACATTATCAATTATAGTGAGACCAATATTGTGATATCTTCAAAATACTAGGTAAAGGTGACAAAAGTAAGCCAGACAAATCAAGTATACAGTATATATAAATATCTTGCAGTTATCTTGAATGCCTTAGGTTCCTGAGGTACTCACCTAGTCTGCTGAAAAGGCAGAAAGAACTATTTTTTAAAAAAATTCACCTTTATTATTATAAACAACTCAAGACAGTGAACATACTTGCCTCCAGAAGTTGTGGTGCTCCAACAGTGGAGTTTTTGAGAGATTGGACAATCATTTGTCTGAAATGGTATACAGACTTCTAGAATTCCTTCCAATTCTGTTATTGTTACTCCTTCCCCCTATTTTTCACACAACAACCCTGTGAGGTGTGTTAGCTTAGAGAGAGAATGACCAACCCAAAGTCACCTAGCCAGTTTTCATACCTAAAACCTAAGGCAGGAACTACTTTTAGTAGTTTAGTGTCTAGCCTGGTTCTTAACCACAAGGCCAACTGATTCTCCAGTTAATTACCTGCAGACATTTCTAGTCAGGAAGGGAAGAATTCATCCCAGCTACTACAGAACTCTGAGGCCAGAGCCTTTCCCTATTCTTTTATGAGACCTAGATTTCGTCTTTATATAGAACTTTGCTCAGCTGGATAGAATTCAGTTCAATTTCTCATATCCTTCTGAGTTGTAAATTGTGTCGCAGGAGCAGTTTAATGTTTAGAACCCAATCTGATTAAGGTAGAAAGACTAGGGCTTAACGCTCAACAATTATATTATGGTTGAACCCACAGGTTCATTCCTTTTCATAGTATGCGATGCTTTCACAGTATAGCTAAGACAGGTTGAAACAAAGCTGAAGATCTATCTCTCACTTTTCTTTTCTCTTGTGTACATCAAAGCCTTCTGCTGCAAAACAATCTTGGGACTTCTTTCCAATTATCTTTTTTTCCCTGGAAGAACTGGGAATATCATTTGATCAGCTAAATACTTATCTTTCATATTAATTCTAAAGTTCCATGCAGCTTTTTCATTAATGTGTCTCAATATCTGTGTTGAATCTATGCTATGATGAAGCGTTAAATGAAGGGATCTTTGTGGCTCCAAGAAAGTGGAGATGTTATCACACTTTACTGGCCAACAGCTATGCCAAGGTATGGGAGTCAGAATCATTACTCCTCTTTTTTATAAACAGAGCTAGAAAATCAGTTTTCTCTTCTCTGACTCCACCACCAGAAACTAGATTTGATGTGACAGTCTGTGAAACTGAAATACAAATTAATACTGGAATATTATTATTTTGTGTACTTTTGCTACACCAGTTCCGATTGATAGGGGTATGTGATATTTTGGAAATGGGAAATGTCATTTGTTTCGCATTTATCCATAAGCTTTAAAATACCTTCTATATATCGTTGATGTATACACTTCTATGTGTATTCATAACAGGAGTAAGCTTATCTATTTTATGATGCTAGTTTATAATAATGTTAACTAACTAGATTCTAGGGCATCTCAAGCACATTAAAAAGAAATGTTTTATTTTCCTTCCTGCCCTGAATTTGTCACTTCGTTTGGGTCACCAGCTTTTCAGTTTCAAGATATACCCATCTAGCTGAGCTGTTCTATCACCCTGTGTAAATTAGCCTGATTCTGAATGCAAAGAATGGTTGAAAGTGCATAGAACAGTTACCCTCATTTTCAGAACAGAACAAGCTACTAGGATAGTGATACTGAAGCTGAGATGCAGATACAGAATGGATGGTAATTTTAAACCTGACTTATACTAGGTGTATAACGTGCAAAATAATTCATTATGAAAGGGCTACTTCGTTCAGATGATTCGTGGGCAACATCTAACTCCCTCCCGCCCCCCCTCCCGTTGTAACACTGCGTTTTCTCCCCCGTCTTCCATCCTAACAAACTTTCACATTTTCGTTTCGGTCCCAAACGCCCTTTCTGCTTCAGCCTTCCCTCCGCTCCCCGCCTCGGCGCTCGCCAGTTGACTAAGGAGGTCGGGGGATTCTATAGCCCGAAGTGTCGCCGCCACCGCCGCGGTTCGCCCCAAAAATGGGCGGGAAGTTTTTACCTTCGGCGTCCCTATCGAAGAGCAGAGAGTTACCCAGGATGGGATACCAGGGTTTTATCTCCGGGATGGCGTTCATCTCTTTCCATTTCCAATAGTTGAGGAGCGCCAAGAAGGAGAGGGCGGCGGCCAACAGAGCAAAGACCGAGGCGGTCCCAACCGACCACCCGAAGAAAAACGCGCTGCTGACCAGAGCCATCCGGGATTCCACTTCCTAAAAGCTGAACTGCGCGCTAACGAGCAAGGTGGTTTTGCAGACGGGAGTTCAGAGATACAGCCCGGAAGGCTTCGAGGAGCAGAGGAAGGAAATTCTGGAAGAAAGCGAGGAAAAGCCCAGCCAGATCTCTAGATCGGCCGTGGAACTGCGGAACTTCAGGTGGGGACTCTGCGATTTATGTAACCCGAAGACTGCTGCGAGAAAGGGGAGAGGCAAGCGCGACAGAGCCACGACTCCCGCCCTTTCCAACTCCAAGGCGTAACCAAGTCTTCACTCGTGCTGCAGCATGTAAACAGTTACTAATCCATGTGGCTCTTTCCTTTCCGGTGTGGCCCGTTCCATCTCTAGAGAACAGAAACTGGGAAGGACCCCTCCTCCTGCTCTCTATTGTCGTTGCAAATCTGCTCGGGTTTTCCTGCTGCCTTTCAACTGGGGTGTTTGAAGCTCTACGGAGGAAATCGTGGTGGTCGGCGGTTTGTTTTGTTTTAGGAGTAGCCCAGCTCCGTCTACCCCGTGTTGCATTAGCACTATTCTGCCTGTTAGTTAGCAACAGGTACGGGTATGTGTATAGACATACCCACGTTGCACACACACAAATGTTGCAGTACATTAAATGACTGCCTATTAAACCAATGAACTCTCTATTGTAGAATCCATACATTCCCCGGGGGCACTTTTGTAGTTTCTGCCATGGGCCTTCTCACCCCTTGCCCACAAATTCCTTGCTTCCTTGCTCCTGGAGGAAGTCAGCAGTCCCTCCTCCCTTCCCCCGATGAAATATTTGGGGAAATATTAAAAGAGGCGGGATAGAATATTTCCCCTAAAGAAGAAATGGAAACAATCTTAACAAAGACAGAAAGCAACCCCCATCTCAAGCAAAAGCATGAAGAGGCCATTCTTGAGGAGATTTGGTAGAGGGTCTCAGGCTTGAGCAGGGGATTGCACCAGAAGACCCCCAAGGTCCCTTCCAATTCTGCTATTCTGTTATTCAATATGTACTTCTTAAGTCCCACAAAATACCCTAGGGCAGGGGTCTCCAACCTTGGCAACTTTAAGACATGTGGACTTCAACTCCCAGAGTTCCTCAGCCAGAGGGAGTGCTGATTGGCCCATAAAGTTTCCTGCCAACTCTAAATGTTCTAAGGTTGTTGAGAAAAAGAAAGTCACACAACTAACTTCCAAATGCTTTTCAGCAATTGAGAGCAGGAAATGCTGCCATGAAGAAAGGCTGAGTTAATATTCTACAACAATGGACCCCAACTTTGTGGGCACCAGGGACCGGTTCCATAGAGAAAGGATTTTCTGTGGACTGGAGAGAGAGTCGTTTTCCATTCTGCCTGCACCCCCTGGATGGTGTTTGGCTTGTTTGCACAGCCTGCTTGCTGGCATACTGCTGATCAGAACCAGTCCATGAATCTGGAGTTGGGGTCCCTTGTTCTACAAGTTATATTCTACAAGATCATAAGTCATTTCTTCATGGTGCTATAATATGAACAGCAGCACAAAATAGCTTGTATGTGAACAAAGGACAAGTTGATTGGTAATTTTTATGAACATCCACATTTATGAACAAGGGTTTTGCTGTTGCAAACCAAGTGGCAACTAAAAGTTTTTATCACTGAGCTTAAAAAGTGTTTATTTCTCAGTAAACAAATATATTCTTTTTTCCCATTCTCTATCATATTATTTTTTATCTTTTGTATTTTTTTCTGTGGCAGCACTGAGCAACATATTCTTAAACATTCTATGTAAAATCTTCCTACTTTATATCACGATTTTAGTATTAATAAAGTTTTTACATCTACACATTAGAAGAGACTTCTGGGACCGTTTATGGAAGGAAAGGTTAATCCTCCCAGTGCACTATAATCCCAATGAAATTTCTATCCAATTTAAATAACAGCAACATGCTATTAATTGGTCCTTTGTGTTTATTAGATGTAACCAAAGACCTGATTTTTATCTTCCATTGCACTAGTCTCCATTAGTGGAGATTTACATCCAGTTGTTTTCTTAGACATAGTCCACGTCCCTCTGTCATGTATCTCTTGAACTTACCCAACTCCATTTTCAAACTGAATTATTTTCCCTCCTACACTTCAGCTGCCTGGGAACGTCAAGGTTCAGAGATACAAGCTGAATGCACAGCTGACTGAGGGAAAATGTTTTGTGCTCATTTCTCTATACCCGGGTCCTCAAACTTTTTAAATGGGGTCAATTCAGTCCCTCAGACTGTTGGGAGGCCTGAACTGGCTGGCTGGGTGTGGCCAGGTGGTCAGGACTGGGTGAGTGTGGCCAATTTAGCAGTCCATTTTGCCAATTTAGCAGTCCATTAAATAATACACACAAACTAAACTTCAATTTGTTTTGCCCCTGGGGGTGTTTTATTTGCTTTTGTTTGCATGTTGCTCTTTTGTTTAGGAGTCTAGTGGTCCACTTCAGGAAACTGTTTTGCAGCAACCCATTTTTGGCTGCAGTACCTCTCTGCTGTCCAAAAACAGGTATTTCCGGAAATACCAGAAGTAACTAAATGGGCCCATTTTTTGGCCTCCAAAGGCTGCAGAGCTTCCCTTGAGCCCCCAGGAGGGTGAAAAGTTTCCCCAGGGCTCCAGAGGCACTCCGGAGACTAAAAATGGGCATTTCCGGTATTTCCAGAAGACCCGTTTTTTGGCCTCCCGAGGCTGCAGAGGCTTCGCTCGAGCCTCTGGGGGGCCTAAAACAGCCTCAAACGGGCTGAAAATGAGCTGGGATGCATGCCCATGCACACTGCAGTTAAGTTGGGGTTGGCGCTTGTGTTAAGTTTGGGCTGGGGCTTGTGTGCCCGCACAAATGGCTCTGTGCCACACGTGCCATAGGTTCGCCATCACGGCTTTACTTGGTTTATGAATGCAGAGAAGGAAAAATATACAAACACACATGCACAGTTTGTCATTTTGGTTCAGTAACTCAGCATGCAGTCTCAAAATGTGAAATATGATGTGTGGTCTGGAGTTTTGAGTCATTGATACAGCAACAATTATCACAATATTTTTACTATAAATGCCTTAGGAAAACATTTATTCGCATTTATTTAAATCTTATCTAAATGTTGTTACCTACTTCAACTTCTGTTACTTATTTGATTTATATAGCTACTAATTTCACATGCGACTTTAGATAGCTTATCATTATATATCTTTTTCATATTTTTAATGATGTCATTTTGTATCACTTTTAATTGTTGTAAAATTCTCTGGATGGTATCTAAAGATCATTATTTTAAATAAATATTTCCAAAGAAACACATTCATTGGGTGTGAATCCGGTCTGATTTAAAACCTTCTTAATGCTGCAGTGAAGCTGCCTACACAATTCTTGAGGAGGCAATGAGTTCGTCTTAATTTCAAGGTTGCACATTTTACCATTGTATCTTATTCAATATGCAAATTTGCTTTTCAAAGTAACTGGGTAAATATTTTATGTATTTTTATCTGCATTAAAGCTAACATACAGATTTTTAATAGTACATACAGTTTTGGAAGTGCTTTTTTACTAATACTGAATGCATTTATCATGTTAAACCACTTAACATTTTAAAAAAACTTTATTTCAACATATAAATTACACATATATATTTGGAAAGGCTAAATTGGATAAGTTATCATAAAAATACAAATTTAAAGTTTAGAAAGCAATTTCTAAACTTTAACATTTTATATATATTTTCACAGATTCATTAGATTTTGAAGCATATTATTAGGCTGCTGAATGAGTAGACAAAAATATTTGATTTACATTTGACATTAACAATTTAGAAAACAAAAACCTGAAAATTCAGTAACAGGTTCAGTTTGTGATGATAAACTCATCTGCATTGTTTTCTTGCTCTTGACTTATTAATAATTGTCAATAAGTGAAATTGCTCTCTAAATTACCCTTCAATAGTCGCAAGCTGAATAAACAGAAAAAAGGCTGTTTAGGACAGTCGAAGGGATTATATTTTAAAAATGGGAACTGAAAACTATCTAGAATAGTATGTTGTTTGAAGACATTTTATATAACTGGCAGGTAGACTGAAAATTATAGCGACTATACAGCAGAAACGAGGCAGGGAAGTTTCAATTCTAATTTCTACATATTTAAGATATTCCTGCTTCCAAAGAGTACAACAAAATATTTCTTAACTAAAAACACTGTTCAGGAAAGAATATTGATTCCTTCTGCACTGTCTTTTAATACTTATTAATAGAGTTAACATACTAATTAAGTAGCAAGATAAGATGGCTGGTGCAACGATTAGTGCTGTGGTTAGGGTTAGCATGTGCCGCACCTAGGTAATCTGGAAAGAATCTGGGACAAATTGGGCACTCCTAACTTGCAATGGTTATCAGGGCTCTGCACATAACACCTTATGAAACTTCCCAAGTGAAATCTTGGAATTGCACCGCAGTTGCTAAAGGCAGCTACACAATTCAGAGCATTAACAAGTGGTTGGCTGGTGCTATGTGGGTGTAAAAGGGCTGAAGCACTTTCAAATTTCCTTTCAAATCTAAAGCTCCTCACATCAATCATAACCGTAATTATTATCATTGAAAAATCACAAAATAGATATGATTACAAAAGTGTCAATCTACTCATCTCTAAGGGTATACACCATGGAATTATATTAACATACTGAGTTCAGTTTTTATTCTGGTTGATGTATGCTTTCAGCATGTGCATACAGTACGTGTAACTTTTATGTGCATTTTTATTTATTAGATTTGTTTGTTGCCCATCTTGTTTCAAAGGAACTCTGGGCGGCTTACACCATTAAAAGCATTAAATATGTAGAAAACAATAAAAATGGAATTTCAAACAAATATACAGTTATAGTTAAAAGATGGGAAGGAGAGAACAGGATGCACTGGGGGGAGGTTGTCTTCATTCAACCACCACCTCCATTGTGATGCCAGAAGCAGATCTTTAGGCTCTTGCGGAAGGTCAAAAGGGTGGGAGCCAATTGAGCTGCAGGGGCAGGACGTATGGCAGAGAAGACCCTTCTCCTGGACCCCATCAGCCAAAATTCCTTGACTTGAGGGCCCCCGCAGCATGCATGTTCCGCCAGTATGGGTGGGATGAGCCAGTCCCAATGGGGCAAACAGTTCTTCAAATAACTTGGACCCATGTTATGCAGGGATTTAATAAACCAGTAATAAACCAATACGTTGATTTGCATCCAAAAGCAAACCAGCAGCCAGTGTAGCTCACGGAGCAGTGGTGAAACATGGGCCAGCTTTGGAGCTCCAAGAACTGCCTTTGCTGCTGCATTCTGCACAAGTTGAAGCTTCCAAATGTTCTTCAAGAATAGCCCCATGTAGAGGACATTCAGTAGTCCAAACACTGAAATGCATTTCAAAATGTATTTATATTTTCTCTAATCTGTGAATCGAAAAGGATATTTAAAAGGTCCCACAAGCATGTTTCAGGGGCTTTTGGAACAAGGAAGCTATGCAACTGCAAATACCTTTTTCTGCAGGAAACAAACTAAATTTTAGGTAAGAATTGTTTGCATTAGGGCAATATTTTGTGAGGGTCATGTTTCATTTTATATCTTTGTTTTTAAATAAGCGTGCTGTTTTATTTCAGAAGATTTTAAGAAATAGTTTGCAGAGGAATATAGAAATGTTCAACTCTTTAAGGGAAGAAAAGCTGAAGACATTTAAAATGCAGAAGAAAGCAAAAATCACAACCAATTACTATTTTCAAAGATCTTCTGAGAGTCACAAAATGAAGCCTTGGACCTATATATAATTTGGCTTAGCTATAATTATGAATTGGATCCACATGAGAAAATAGGAACATAAAGGGCTCTTTCTTATTCAGTTTAGTAGAAATTTATACTTTTAAAAACCAAATGGCACTCCACATTCAGGCAATATGCACACATACGGAACGCTCAAGAGTCAGCATTTCAGTACTCCTAAAGATTGCTGCGTTATTGAGGATTTTGACTGTGTGCCAATAATATTTTCTTCTCTTCTTGCTCCTAAATGTCATTAAGCAACTTGAAATCTTCTCCTAGAGAGAGATGGATTTTTTTGGAATGACCTGGCATGGAACTGTGCACCTGTAAGAAGAAAAAAGAATCAGGCAATAGAGACTTAAGTAGATACAGTCCATTGCACCCAGAAGATACAACCCCGATTTTTTTTTCAGAAGCTTACTTTCTAGTGTTGTTCTGTGCTGCAGAGAAGGCTAGTTTAAACCAGGAAAGATAACCAGGTTCTGTAATTGTGTGCCCTTAATTCTGTCACCAAGAAGTGTATTCTAGGTGGTACTTGTTTACCAATCACTCATTCAATGACTTCCACTATACTAAACAAGAAGTATTTATGACTGGTCCTCATGCACATAGCTTTCCCAGCAACCCCACAGTATGAATGTGATTCAGGTGCTTTGCAACCATGTTGCATTTACAACAGTTGCAGCATTTTGTAGTCACCTGATCATAATTAGCAACTTTTCCTGACAATCCAACCTGGGATGGGCTTCCCAGGACCTTCCCATTTCCTACAAACCCCCACATTCCTTACCCATGAATCCTACCACTTCTTACTTAAAAGATATTCAATATTGCAAAACAATGGCATCTTTGTGTTTTTTCATCTTTCAACACATCGTCAGATTAGCCTATGGGAGTTTTGCAGTTCACTTTTTCTTTTATTTGGAAAAACGTTTTCACTTCATATGCATCTCACTCATTGGGAAAAATATATTTGGACTAGAAGGTATTCTGACACGGTACTAGTTATGTTGCACAGATGGTCAGCTAAGTTTATAAGATTTTGAAATAGCAATAATTAGTTTGGGTCCAGAAAGAGGAGGAAAAATATTGCTTATTGTTGCTTTTGTTTGCATATAATCCCTAGAAGAATGGTATTTTGGTCCAAGAGTTGTAGTATATAGAAAAACAGTCTGCCTGGCCTCAGCAACCTACTTGAAAAAAACCAAAAGTATTTCCAGAATGCATGTAGGACACTAGTTCCTCTGGGTAGATGAAGTGGCTCTGCAAATATCTCAACTAATAGGATTAGAAAGATTAAATCCAATACCAAATTAAAGCTGGAAGCATATTAGCAACCAAGACAGTACCTGTATCACAGGTCTAGTGAGTTCCTGGCACATAGTCCCGGATAATAAGTACATTATTTAATTGTTGCATTTTACACCAATTGTATGTTCAAATGGCCTTTAAAGGTAGCTCCACGTAGAACACATTGTGGATATTAAATCAGGATAGGAGATATAGCAATAGACTTATATACCACTCCATAGTGCTTTACAGCACATTCTGAGCAATTTACAGATGTAAGCATATTGCGTCCATCAATCTGGGTCCTGATTTTACCAACCTCAGAAGGATGAATGGCTGAGTCAACCTTGAGCCAGTCAGGATCGAACTCCTGGCTGTGGGTAGAGTTAGCCTTCTATACTCCATTCTAACCACGACAGTAAATATGTTTTCTGCTATAATCTGAAGGGATATTGAGCTGATAAATTGATTAGCAGTTGATCATCACACTGTATTCCTCAAATATGTATCCTTCAACCCTAAAGAAATCCATTATTGTCAACTTTTTTAAGTAGGAGTTGGCAGGAATGGAATGTACTTCAATGACATTTCATTATTGCATCAGACACTTGAAAACCTATCAACTTTCTCCTCTGTTTCTCATATTACAATCAAGGGAAATTGTTTTGAATTTGGTTCTCATGTTTTCTACCTTCCCAGCCCTCGGATATCTGTTTTGTTCAGTATTCTTTTTCCCCTTCTTCGAGTCAAACCCCCATTTAATCACAATCAGCAAAATATTTCGTTGACTTCGAACTCTCAAGTGCAACATTTCTCACTAAAGTTTTCAAGGAAGTAGTATCCCTGTAATTACCCACACATCTGAAAAAGGCTGACCTTTTCATTCAGGCTTTTGGCCAGCATATGAAATCAGGATTGCTTTGATCAGTTCGGAAGATGATCTACACAAGAACCAAATGTGGATTACAGAAAAATTATTTTACTGGACTGCCAAGCAGGACTGGGCCTTTCGGTACAGTATTTACCATCACAGGATTTTAATGGGAGATGACTTTTCACTTTGAAATGCTTGGTCTTCTGTGTTCTCTTCCTGCTGCCAGCATGTTAAATATAATAATTTTGAAATCACTCATTCCTATAATCCTAAAGCATCTAGTCCTATACTCACTTTTGAAAAATATACTTAATGAAACAGATCTTACCTGTTACTATCCCTTGGCCCATCCACAACTGATTAGCAAGATCCATAGAAGTTACTGACCTTTTCTGAGGTGTATCTGACTGAAAAAGATATATGGTGCTTTAAATTAGTAATATGCTTTGCTTCTTTTGATAATTAGATATTAGATTAGAAGCAAGGAGATCCAAGGTCTTGTCCTACCTTAGTCACAGAACACATCACTCACTCACAGACCTAATTAGAATCTGGCTCTGTGATAAATCAACTGATAAACAAACCCCTTGTTTCATCATGCTTTGATAGCTTCATTGTAAAAACAATACTTGGGAAGCTCTGGTCACAGTCATTCATGTCCTGGTCGCCTTCTGGATGGATTACTATAGGATATACTATGGTACTTAGGGCTGTCCTTGAAGAGTGTCTAGAAGCTTCAGCTGGTGCAAAATGTAATGGCATGGCAATTATGTGTGCCCCAGAAAAGTACACATACTACTGCTTTGCAAGTTGACTGTCACTGAATACAACTCAGGGATTATGGTTTATCATAAACCATGATCAATCTCAAGTCATGGTTATTGATAATCAATCTAGTTCGTTAATATACTTTGTGAACAGTTTATAAACTATAATTACTGATTAATAAAAAATGACAAATTAAGATTAAGAGACAATTAAATGAGTAACTGACAAGTTCCAGACATATCTGTGAGAATAGCACATTTGTTACTCATTCATTGCAACTTTTTTTTTTTTTTTGATGGAGGAGGCAATCGTTTGCCTTCAAGTCAGTGTTGACTTCTGGCAATTGCCTGGACAAGTCCCTGTACTTTTCTTGGTAGGGTTTTACCATTGTCTGCTTCCTGGGACTAAGACAGAATGACTGGTCCAACCTGGCTTTGTGCCTAAAATGAGGCTAGAACTCACAGTCTCCCAGTTTCTAGCCTGATGCCATAACTGCCAAATTGACTCTCATCCCATTTTTACAAACTTTCAAACCTACCCGGAATGTATGAGTTGTGTTGGGCCTTGAAAACTGATCTATTAAGACAGTTCGCTCCCTATGAGGTCGTCGTTCCAGACCGTGAGGTACTGCACTGGATATTCTGCTGTGAAGATGTTTTCCTCTATGCTGAAAATGGAAAGGCAGAAGAAGCAACCAGTTACTGGGTAAAAAAATTCTAAAATGTTATTAGCAGTTGAAGTGAATACAATTATTGTAACCGGGGCTGTGACATTATGTAACATGTGTACATCTCTTTCCTTGAGAGCTTAAGGTTATAGATATGTCTGTAGAGGTAGTCCTTGACTCAACCACAATTGGGAGCAGAATCTGCATTGCTAAGCAAGGTGATTGTCAAATGAGTTATGCCTGATTTTATCTATTTTGTGACAGTTGTCAAGTGAATCATGCAGTTGTTAGGCAAACCAACTTCTCCCATTGTTGGAAGCCAGCTGGGAAGGTCACAAATGATGATCACATGACCCCAGGACACTGCAACACACTGCCAAACATCTAAGTTTGAACATGGGATGCTGCTACAGTTGTAAATGTGAGGATCAGTTGTTACTTTTCTCAACTTTGATTGGTTGCTAAATGAATAATTGTTAGTTGAGGACCTCCGATATAACATTCTGATAAATTCTATATACAGTATCCCTTCCTGCAATACTGCTGTGCACCAGAGCTCAAATAGTTCTGAAAGCTAACGTGTTGTAAAACGTATTGTAAAACTGCTGATTGATGAGCAAAATTCCCAAGAGAGGATTTGAACTTCATAAGAGTAAAGTCTGTTTTTTTTATATTATCATGAGGATGAAGCTGGTCATATCCTGCTGCCTGGTGGTCAATGCAACTATTTTTCAACTGACTTTTTATTGTCTCCTCACAAATGACTAATTTTTCAACCAGCCTCTGAGCACCTAGGCAAGCAAGTTCTAAAATTACCTATTTAGACTTCTTCAAAGGAGCTTCAGATGAAGATAACATGTTTTAGCATGTTAGCCGCTCAAGACTAGAAAAGGTTATTGTGTTTAAAGAATGCTATAAATTCCAAAGGCTGTGTAAGTGGAGCATACTAAATTTATGATCATTTTTTTTCAAAAATATGGAATTGCCATGCATGGGAAGGACTTCTCACTGTTTTAATGAGAAGATTAATAGGGGTTGTTTTGCCAATGGAATAGTGTCACAAATACAGTTAAAATGGAACTATTTGGAGTTGAATAATGTACCCGGTTTTACCATCCTTTGCTAACACAAACTTCTTTAATGTACTTCCAAGTGCAGCTCCAAGTCTTGTCCTTTATACCTTCTCTATCAGAAAACCAGACTAGAAAGGGAACTCTGATCCCACAGGCTGCATTTTGTCTAGATTTGCAGTTCAAGTGATTAAAATAGCTGGCCTTATAATGTGTATTAGACTATTAGAACTACAATTTCATAACTACAAAGCTTAACGTACACTCCAGTATTTGGTAATAATGTTTTTAATGCAAGATGTACTGGCTTATTATGTAAATTTTCATAGCAAGAAAATTTGTGTTAATGTAACAGAAACAATAAAACTGAGAAAGCTGGAAAAACAAGTTCATGCTAATGTTCAGAACTTAAACTTCTAAAATCAAACACCATCTACTAAATTATATTTTCTTCACATAACTCATTCTTTCTATGTGAAAAACTATAAATGATGTAAAGAGTGGCCAAAATTCTATTTTAAAAAAATCTCTCTTATTTTAACCTTGATCAAACAAACCAAAATTATATTCCTTTCTTTAATAACAATCCTGATTTTTAATTCATATAAATGTTATTGTAGGATCTTTCTTTTTCCCATTGAAAAGGCTTACTTGAAGTTTGGCAAATCTGATGTACCGTATTTCCCCATGTATAAGCACCCCCTTTGTATAAGCCACCCCCCCAATTTTTGGACTGTGAAGTTTTGAAAAAAATATTTTATTAGAGAAACAAGTTATGAAGAAAGAAAATTTACAAAGAAACAAAATTCGACGTCTAGATCTACAACTTCGGTCATGACGCCGAAAGCGGTGCGGGCGACGCTAGCAATCTACGCATCGGAACGAGAGTAGGAACGAAGCATTCAGGCCGATGCCTAGCGTATGCATTTCTATTGCGTACTCGCACTCGTAATCGTATCATCACGTACAATTTTTACAAAAAAGTATAGCATACTGCTGGAAAACCAGTTTATTCCTACTTTATTATTTTATGCATTTTTCACGTATAAAAAGTGTACCTGCTTTGTATATGCCACCCCCCTACTTTTTGGGCTTGAAAATTTTGGAAAAAAGGGGTGGCTTATACATGGGGAAATACAGTAAATTCAGTAAAAAGACATTATTCAGGTCATTGTCTTGATTTGTCGTTTATGTTTCCCCCTTTGATTTTCAAAGCTTTAACCAGCTTCTTTTATATATCTAATAAAAAATCTTTATTAGATCATTCTCTTGGCTTCTCATTTATTATTCCACTTTCATTGTCTTCTCTATATTGCAATCCAGACTTTTTCCTATCACTTGTAGGTTCAGTTTAGATAGCTTGCTATTTTGTAATCCACACTTTTTAAAATATATCTAATCTTTCTGATTCCACTATTTCTACCTCAAACAAACAATATCAATTAAATATTGATATTGATGACATTACAGCTACTAGTTATTGGTGTCATTCTTCAAAGATCTTGTTGAATATTTCAAATGTTATGGCATTTTGTGTGATTTTGTAAATCCCAAACTTAATCTAAACCCACAGGAGTTAATTTACTTAGTCTAAACTAAAGGTAGGGTTTTAGTTTCCCTTTTTCCTGGAATGTAGTTTCCTCTAATATCCAATTTTTTAAAGATTTATTTTTTACCCTGATTTTTTTTTCATATTTAAATCAAGGTGGCAAACATACCTAATATTTCTTCCTTCTCCTACTTATCCAACAATAGCGAACCAATGAGTTATGTTGGCCTGAGAGTGAGTGACTGGCCCAAAATGATCCAGCTGGTTTTCATGCCTAAGACGGACAAACTCACAGTCTCCTGCTATAGACCAACACCTTAACAACTACACCAATTTAAATAATAGTTTCTTATCTCTGTTATGAGTTACAGTAGCCAGAATAGTTTTGGTTCTCATGAAAGTGGTTATTTTATATTGTTAGTTCCAACATCTTACACAGTAAACGTTTCAATATTCCAAATATTGGTCTGGACCCTTAATTTGTTTATAACTTTCTTGATTCAAAATCTTGTTTAGTTTTTGTTTATTTCACATTCTTTAAGTTCTTAAAGTTATGGTTAATTTTTCTTTTGTTCAGAAACAAAATTAGGTTTACCAGGTGACTATACAAACTAGTCATTCCAAAGACTTCTAATACTTTAAAATATTTAAATAAGTTTTCAGAGGGATTAGAAGTATAATTAGCATAGTATCCTTTTAAAAGGTCTGCTGCAATTATGAGTTTATGATTGATCTCTTTGTCTCCTCACTCAGACCCACTAGAAATTGCTCTCTTGCAGTCCCCTCATGAGGAGCAGCCATCCAAGCACATATGAGTGATTTCCCATCATCTCCTTCACCAAATAGTTTTCAAAGAACCGGGTCAATCATTGGTTCTTTAGTCTTTGCAACAGTCACGAATGGAGATGTATTTAGGCAAAGCATACTTGCTATATATAGATCTATTTTATATAACTGAATAATTTATATAACAGACATAAGTTTTAGCTTTACATCAATACTATTAGGCACAGAGGAAAAGTGCATTGTGTAAGACTGCTTAAGGAAGTTTCATAGCTGAAAGAAACTATGAACGTGTGGGTGGATGTGTACATTTTGGGATTATGCAAAGATTTGATTAAAAGTTTTATTGGCAACTTCATCCAACAACTGGTCACAATCAAGTTGAGTTTTTCTTTAATTTGATGTGTACACCCTAAATCCATGATGGAGAAGCTATGGCACATGTGCCAGAGGTGGCACACAGAGCCCTCTCTGTGGGCACACGAGCCCCAGTTCAGCTCCGCCATGCATACGTGCACACCACCCACCGGTCAGTTTGTCTTCGGGTCTCTGCTGTGCATGCTCAGGGAATAGGGGCATATGCAGGAAATATGCATGCATGCATGGGGGTGAGATGTATGCACGGGGGACGCACGCATGTTGCATTTGGGGGATGTGCGCGTATGTGCGCTTTGGGCACCCAGTGCCGAAAAGGTTAGCTATCACTGCCCTAGATTCTATAGAGATAGAGAAATATGAAAACAAGTATTCAATCATTCATGGCCCAAATAATGTAGATGTCTTACAAAACTTAAGCGTAGTCCAGGGACTGAAAGGTATTGATCAATGGTGTCTGAATTTATGGGTGGCAACTTGTTCCGGACAGCAGGTGTAAATGGAGATGGCAAACGATCTAAGGTAGTGCATCTGTAAGAAAGCAGCATGGACACAGGAATTAACTCTTATTTCAGGTCCTTAAACTGCTACACTTTAATCCAGTACAGTGAATAAATAACAATTCTGTTGCATATATAGAGATATTAAATATTCAATCTTCTCTAATATAGTGACTTTCAAAAACTGCACTTCTGGAAATTCTGGATATTATAGTCCTAGCACATCTGGAGGGGTCAAACTGGGAAAGGAGAATCTCTTTGAAGCACAAGACATCCACTTAAATAGTGCATATCTTTCCACTTAAAAATCTGGATCTTATTACTTTAGTTCCTCATACCTGCTTAGTTCCTCATACAGGATTCTATCATTACTCTTATTATTCTTCATATGTCTACTTTGTATTACAAGTACACAAAAAAAGAGATCTGCATGAGCCAAATTTACTACACTGCTAAAATGAGTAAATTTTGCAGGCTCGGTTACATTCTTTAGATTAATTTGCTTCTAAGATCACAATGAATCTAATTTTTATAGCTTGAAGGATAGCATCTTTAGACTATTTAGTTTTCTTCTAAATGCAGTGTTTGTGTCTCAGAATCACAAAATTATTTCTCAGTGCTGTCCAAATTCTATCATCTGAACTCAACAGGATCAATATAGTAGGAAAGAACAGAAATAAGATCGTACAATTTTGTTCCTCGCAGGACCTCATCACTGTAAACATTGGGAGTCTTTAAACGTAGTTGGTCTTGTGCTAATGATGGTAACCTACGATGGCCTACTATTTTCTTAGACGATCCAGGCAACACTCGAGGTAATGCTGAGATATTGCTATCAGTCATTCGCCCCACTCGATTCTTTGATGAATTAATACTGGAACCCACACCCTGGAGCTTGTCTTCTTGTTCATACCTGAAAAAGACAGTTTCAACCAAACATCACTCCATTTATATAAGATTAACGTCTTAAGCAACCTGAAGCTGAATAATAAGTGGATCAGCATTCCCCAATAAAGAAATGCATAAATTGGAATCAATTCCAATTCCATTGGAATCAATCCAATTGGAATCAATTGGAAAACTAATTCTGCACCAAGTGAGAAATCAAATAAGTTCCTAACCAACCTAGCTGACAACTTTGTTGTCCAAAAGGTAAAGGGTGAAACTAGAGGGATTGCCATACTGGACTTAATTCTTACAAACAGAGAAGAAGCGATAGAGGGAGTTGAAACTGCAGGAACCTTGGGTGAGAATGACCAGGTCATAGTAGAATACAACATAACACAAACACAAGCAATAGAAAATAATGACACCAGAGTCTTGGATTTTAAAAGAGCTGATTTTAATAAACTCGGAGACAACTTGGGAAAGATTCCATGGATGAAAATCCTGAAAGGGGAAAACAACTCAAGAATCTTGGGAAACTCTGAAAAGTACGATCATAGAAGCCCAGACCAGCACAATGCCACTGAGAAAGAAAAACAAGAAATCCAAGAAGAAACCAGCATGGCTGCACAAAGATCTCTCTGGCAAATTGAAAGAAAGTAAGTACAAGTACAAAAAATGGAAAGAAGGACATACAACTAAGGCAGAATATCAGCAGATAGCCAGAATCTGCAAAGATGAAGTCAGGAAAGCAAAGGCTCAGAACAAATAAAGGCTTGCAACAAAAGTCAAAAATAATTTTAAAAAAAGTTTCTTCCAACATATAAATAACAAGAAAAAAATCAAGGAAACAGTTGGTCCACTAAAGAGAGAAGATGGCAAGGAAGTAACAGGCAACAGAGAGAAAGCAGAACTGCTTAACTCATTCTTTGCATCAGTCTTCACGCAAAAAGAAACTATAGCTCAACCCACCAAAAACATAACTGTAAAAGACAGACCAGAAATAAAGTTAAAATAAGCAAAAAAAATAGTAAGAGAAAACCTGTCTGATCTTGATGAACACAAATCACCGGGGCCTGATGGATTACATCCCAGAGTTTTAAAGGAGCTGGCAGAGGTCATCTCAGAACCACTGCATCATATCTTTCAAAAATCCTGGAACACCAGGAACTATGAGAAGACTGGAAAAGAGCTGATGTGGTTCCCACCTTCAAAAAAGGGGAAAAAAAACAGACCCAGGAAACTACAGACCAATCAGCCTAACATCAATACCCGGGAAGATCCTGGAAAAGATAATAAAAAAAAGAGATCTGCCAACATCTAGAAACAAGTAAAATAATAACTAGCAGTCAGCACGGGTTTGTTAAGAACATGCCAAACCAATCTTATTTCATTCTTTAACATAGTGACTAAAATAGAAGACCAGCAAAATACTATGGACGTAATATACTGCTCAAAAAAATAAAGGGAACACTTAAACAACGCAATGTAACTTCAAGTCAATCACACTTCTGTGAAATCAAACTGTCCACTTAGGTAGCAACATTGATTGACAATCAATTTCACATGCTGTTGTGCAAATGGAATAGACAAGAGGTGGAAAGCAGAGGCAGTTAGCAAAACATCCCCAATAAAGGAGTGGTCTGCAGGTGGTGACCACAGACCACTTCTCAGTTCCTATGCTTTATGGCTGATGGTTTGGTCACTTTTGAATGCTGGCGGTACTTTCACTCTAGTGGTAGCATGAGACGGAGTCTACAACCCACACAAGTGGCTCAGGTAGTGCAGCTGCTCATCCAGGATGGCACATCAATGCGAGCTATGGCAAGAAAGTTTGCTATGTCTGTCAGCATAGTGTCCAGAGAATGGAGGTGCTACCAGGAGACAGGCCAGTACATCAGGAGACGTGGAAGAGGCCGTAGGAAGGCAACAACCCAGCATCAGGAATGCTACCTCCACCTTTGTGCAAGGAGGGACAGGAGAAGCACTGCCAGAGCCCTGCAAAATGACCTCTAGCAGGCCACAAATGTGCATGTGGCTGCTCAAATGATCAGAAACAGACTCCATGAGGTGGTATGAGGGCTCGACGTCCACAGGTGGGGCTTGTGCTTACAGCCCAACACCGTGCATGACGTTTGGCATTTGCCAGAGAACACCAAGATTGGCAAATTCACCACTGGTGCCCTGTGCTCTTCACAGATGAAAGCAGGTTCACACTGAGCATGTGACAGACGTGACAGGGTCTGGAGACGCCATGGAGAACATTCTGCTGCCTGCAACATCCTCCAGCATGACCGGTTTGGCAGTGGGTCAGTAATGGTGTGGGGTGGCATTTCTTTAGGGGGCTGCACAGCCCTCCATGTGCTCGCCAGAGGTAGGCTGACTGCCATTAGGTACCGAGATGAGATCCTCAGACCCCTTGTGAGACCATATGCTGGTGTGGTAGGCCCTGGGTTTGTCCTAATGCACGACAATGCTAGACCTCATGTGGCTGGAGTTCCTGCAAGACAAAGGCATTGATGCTATGGACTGGCATGCCTGTTCCCCAAACCTGAATCCAATTGAGCACATCTGGAACATCATGTCTCGCTCCATCCACCAACGCCACATTGCACCACAGACTGTCCAGGAGTTGGGGGATGCTTTAGTCCAGGTGTGGGAGGAGATCCCTCAGGAGACCATCCGCCACCTGATCAGCAGCATGCCCAGGTGTTGTAGGGAGGTCATAAAGGCACGTGGAGGCCACACACACTACTGAGCCTCATTTTGACTTGCTTTAAGGACATTACATCAAAGTTAGATCAGCCTGTAGTGTTTTTTTCCACTTTAATTTTGAGTGTAACTCTAAATCCAGACCTCCATGGGTTGCTAAATTTGATTTCCATTGATAATTTTTGTGTGATTTTGTTGTCAGCACATTCAACTATGTAATGAACAAAGTATTTAATAAGAATATTTCATTCATTCAGATCTAGGATGTCTTATTTTTGTGTTCTTTATTTTTGTATATTTAGATTTCAGCAAGGCATTCGACACAATAGACCACAACTTACTTCTTAGTAAGCTAGAAAAAAGTAAAATAGATAGCACCACCACTAGATGGACTCGCAACTGGCTGATGAACCATACTCATCGAGTAGTCCTTAATGGTTCTAAGTCTACGTGGAGGGAAGTAAGTAGTGGGGTGTGCCACAAGGTTCTGCCTTACTCTTCAATATCTTCATTAATAACTTAGATGAGGGAATAGAAAGGGAACTTACCAAATTTGCAGATGATACTAAGTTGGCAGGAATAGCTAACACCCAAGAAGATAGGCTCTAGATCCAGATGGATCTTGACAGACTAGAACACTGGGCCATATCAAACAAAATGAAATTCAATGTAGAGAAAAGTAAAGTCCTACACTTAGGCAAGAAAAAACAAAAGTGCACATATAGACTGGGTGAAACCAGGCTCAATAGCAGTAACTGTGAGAAGGATCTTGGAGTCTTAGTGGACAACCAGCTAAATATGAGCCAGCAACGTGCAGCAGCTAAAAAAAGCTAATGCAATCCTAAGTGTATTAACAAGAGGGATACAATCAAGATCAAGTGAGGTACTAATACCACTCTGTAAAGCCTTAGTAAGACCACACCCAGAATACTGCATCCAGTTTTGGTCACCACATTATAAAAAAGATGTTGAGACTCTAGAAAAAGTACAAAGAAGAGCAACCAGGATGATTAGGGGACTGGAGGCTAAAACATACAACGAACAGTTGCAGGAACTGGGCTTGGCTAGTCTAGTAAAGAGAAGGACCAGGGGAGACATAATAGCAGTCTTCCAATATCTGAGGGGCTGCCACAGAGAGGAAGGGGTCAAGCTATTTTCTAAAGCACCTGTAGGCCAGACAAGGAATAATGGATGGAGACTGAACAAGGAGAGATTCAACCTGGAAATAAGGAGATGGTGAAACAGAGGCCAGAGGGCGACGCACGCATCAATTTCTTGCCTGCAGAGAGCTTTCCGGATGACTTCTGACAATGAAACACAGGCCGGGTGCAACATGTGCGAGCGACAGCAAGCGGCCACAGAAGTGGACCGGCAGCAGAAGTGGACAGGGTGGGGCTATCAGTGCCGCCGCTGCAAGGTGAATCAGTATAAGACACCGCCCTCCCCCCCAAAAATAAGACCTGATGCCTTTTTTGTTGGCAAAAAATATATAGGAACAGGTCTTATTTGTGGGGAAACACGATATTTATCAGTATTCAGTTGGGGGGACAAGTTATATATATGTCTGATTTGCTTTTCATTTTATGCATTCTTGTTTGTGTAGTCTTTAGTTGTATTTTGTTTTCATAATTTTTTCTTTGGGGGGGAGTTTTTATTTTAATATTTTGAATAAAAATAAAATTGATGATCTACTTCTATCAGGTATGTTATTCCTTTTATCATTTTATAAACCCAGTCAATAATCATAATAAACTTTAACTACCTAATTAAAATAAATAAGGCCAGAAACAAATAAACAAATGTAACCTATACAAAAGTGTGATTTTATAAGATCTTTGTAAAACATACTTTTCAATGAAGCTTGAATGTCTCTGTTGTAGTGGTTTAGCTTGAATTGTCATGACACCATTTAAATTGCCATGTGAACTGCTGGAGAAACGGTGGGCCTAAAGAAAGCAACAGAAACAAACACAGATATGCCATTCAATATTTGACATGTTTTTATTTATCTTTTAAGTACAGTAATGTGAATCTTATCCCTTTGTTCCAAAAAAACATTGGGCTCTTTAAACTTATTTTAGTATTTATTTATTTCTGAGTATGTCACAGAAATAATGCAATAATTAAATTATTTTAAATATAATTATTACATATGTTATGTTGTATACATATAAAATGGTGTAATGGAGCATTTGTGAAATTAAATTCAAGATATGAAATAAATTAATATTTAATTTATTTTTATTTCTGTTAATCTCTCTTGCTTGGCTTATTCATACATGCACATATTTTGAGCCTTAGACATGTTGATAAATTACCCTGATTGTATAGATATTGATATTTTTCTTTCATTAAAGTATTGCAATCTACCACGTTGCTCAAAGGTCAAAAGACAAAGAAAATGAAAGAAAGAAACCGTCCTAGGCTTAAGCACCTAAGAACCATGGAAACAAAGGGAACAAAGTAAAAGAGAACATTCAACTAAATACATGAAGGATAGATTGTTCATTCTTAGCATGAAAATTTTTCATATTTTGATGAAAAGATATTAGTTTACCTGGGATTGTCCAAAATGCAGACCAAAAGACATGGATCGAACCTCTGACCCTCTGGATGGAGGAACACTTGCTATATCTAACATCACACGGGAAGGTGGAATATATGACAACTTATTTCCAATAACTTTTGATTTCTCCGTATGCTTGTCATTTTCTAAATTATTAATACATAAAAATAATAAATATACATTCATGAATCAGATAATATCAGAGCCCTCTTAGTTTGCTTCAACTTTGGAAGTAATGCATTATTAATAATTAGTAATAATTGTCACTTTCTCTGTTCAGCTGCCAGGATGTTACGATGCTGCTTCCTAAGGTTGGTAGATAGGTGGTTTTCTGGAGGAACAGGAAGGAAACTGAAGCTATTCTATCAACAGCACACCAATATTCTATTACTTTCATGGCTCAAGATTGGGAAGGTTTTGTTTTTGTTCAGATAGAGATGATGCATGAAGGGGTTCAGATTTAAAGGAAGTCCTAATCTCCTAATGGTTTGGAGAAGTTATTAGGGCTATAATTTATTTATTTATTTTACTTTAAACAATTATATAGTCACCCATTTAAAAACCAACTCTAGGTGGCTTCTAATTCTATTCTATTCTTTCTTTTATATATACATATACATATACATATACATATACATACATACATACAAACATACATACATACAAACATACGGATGTGTATGTGTGTATTTCCAGCATAACTCTGGAATGCCTTGAGCAATTTCAACCAAACTTGGTACACAGATGACTTACTCTCTGGAATCAAATTCTGTGGGGGTAAGACACCCCTAACACCCCTGGCGTGTGTGTGTGTGACTTAAAATGGCTTCTACTGTACAGCATAGTGGACTTGCCATGGTAACAGCTTCACAGTACTCCACAAGGGGGCTCCCTCTTGTGGAGAAATAGAAGACTTGTGATGCTGTGCAAGAGACAGTACAACAGTGCGAGTCCTGACTACAGATTTTCCTGTCTAATACAGGATTGGGATAAATAAATACCTGGGCAATGCTGGGTTATTGGCTAGTCAAATATAAAAACCGCAATAAAACTAAATACATCAAAACATTAAAACCAACGAAAATTTTGCACCAAGTCATATATCCTCACTGGGGGGAAAAGTCAGGACTTCAAAGTTTGGTGGGAGGCCAGGAGAATCAAGGTCTGCTTAACTTCAGCAGGAAAGAGACTGCCACAGAAAAGGAATACTGTTGACTACTTTGGAACAATTTATTTCCACCTAAACTGGCATTTTTATCTCAGCCCTAGTAGATCCCTAGCGCAGAGATTAAAAGACAGTAGCTTCTGAGGTGTCAATCCTTGCTTTATGAGCTTAAAGGATTTCTTTCAGAGAGTTCAAAGCAAGGATGCTGTAAGATGACAGAGCTATCCAATAGGCTAAAGCCCACATTAAGGTTTATGCTGAGGCTCTCAAAGTGACAAAGCAACTGTTTTTTGCCATTGCCCTTGCCACTTCTGCACACCCAGAAGAATCATTTTAAGAGGTTTGTTATCAAGGACCTATTAAAATGGAAGGAGAAACTTCATTGCCTTCTGTGGCATGTCTGGTAGATACCTGCATGTTTGTCCTAGCTTTGGGGTTTTGGTTATAACAGATCCTAGCTATCCATTAAACAGTACTTGCTTTGAATAATTTTCATTCATCCAGCCTAAGGACATGGACAAAATTCTTGGTAAGATAAGACCAATCCAGTCATATTTAACTCTGAAATTATACAATTTGGCATGGACAACTTGCCACAGCCATTTTGCCATGGCCATAGCCATCTCACCACAGCTAACCCACTGTGGACATTTCTCTCACCATCAAACCACAGCCAACTCACTCAGCCAACTCACTGTGGGACAATTCCATGCCAGATAAATCAATGCAATGAATGTTATCCACCACGGTTTCTTTGACTTTATTTCCATTGACAAAAATTGAAAGAGGGTCAAAGAAACAGTGGCAGATAACGTTTATTGCATTGGGTTATCCTGCATGGAATCGTCTGTGGCAAGTTGTCCCAAAGTGAATAGGAAGTGATGAGATGGCCACAGCAGGTTGGCCGCAACAAGGGCAGAAGTTGGCCATAGTGTTGGCAATGGCAGCAAGTTGACCACGGCAAGATGGCTATGGTGAGTTACCCTAAATCCTCTTACCTCTTCTGCCTGATTAAGGCAACCAGGTAGAATGGTTCAGCCTGCCTTTAAAATGTTCTACTTACTTGTAATAGATGATTCCCAGTATTTTCTTATTAATTCTTCCAGTATTTTAATTATATTTTTCCAGATTTGATCAAATACTTCAGCAATCACAGCTTCTTTGATGCAGGAGTTGGGAGAAACAGGAGGAATGCCATATTTAATCTGTTTTTGGGCAAGTTGAGCATTCCTTTGCTCTAAACCTTCATCATCACTAATGAAAGAAGGAAATTAACATTTTATTACTAAGCATTATTAATTATTAATAACTAAACAGTCAATTTAATCAAAGTCCCTTTTGATCAAATACTGCCCCACAGTATTATTTCAGAACTTGTCAAATTATAAATTATGATTTTACCACATTTAAATTCTACCAAGACTCAGTGGTAAATGCATGTGCACAAAAAGCTATATTTTGTGCACACAGAAAACATGATCCTCACAATTTATACTATACAAATTGGCCTTCAGTATCCATCACTTGATAACATAATAACAATACAGGCAATATTGCAAAATATTTTCCCTCATTTGATTTTGAATTGAATAAATCCAATAGAAAATTTCTAGTTCTTTTCAGAAAAGCTGCTATATGTACTGAAGCAGTAGTGCTATATTAATAATGTGAGATTAGTTTTGTATATATTTCATATATTCTCAGAAATTTTCAAGACAAATGATTTTATAGTAAAGGTTTCTGACAAATTCATGTCATGTTCTTTTGCCTAACTGACTAATTCCAATAAAACTAGGGAAAGCATGCATGATTGACATGAAATTCTTCAACAGCTTAATTGCTTAGGCATAAAACATAAAAGTGATTGGTAGAGCTGTTTATATCATTGCTTTGCTCATGCAAACAATCTATTCAGAGAATAAACTTTTATTTTTTGTCTACCTAGTCTTAAAAGCCTCTGATTGTTAAATGACAAATGACATTTGCTAGTTTTTAACCACATGTGTTTAAATTAGCTAACTTTATTATGAAGAAAAAGCAAGTAAAGGTTTCATTTTGAAAACAGCTTCACTCTAGAACAGGGCTGTCTGCGGGCTGGATGCATCATGCGCTGGCCATGCCCACACCTCGTTTAGCGAAGGGGATATGTTACATGATGCTGCCGTGACAACATGAGTTTGACACCTCGGTCTAGAACAGATTATCAGTCTCAATCATTGACATTCACATTTAAGATAAAATAATTTTGCCTACAATTTTCTGCTAACAAAGATGTCAAGTATATGTAGATGATTTCATAAAAAGTCTGATTTTTCCTTAGTCATCATTATTTCTTATGAAAGCTATTAAAATTGAACATTTACAGTTCCTTCTTGTCAAATGCAAGATATTCTTCCATTTTTCCTTCTGCATCATAAATTTCTTCCTCCAAGAATGAATATCCAGGTGATTCAGATAAAGAAAGATCTGATAATTCGGGATGGAATGCTTTGTGTACTGGAAAAGCTGCAGGTACCAGTTTTGATCCTGAGATGCATAACCTAAATTACGGTACACACACAAAAAAATAATGCTATATTTTTTTTGTAAGAATAATACTAGAAGCTATTAGGATAATTATTAAAATTTCCAAGCATAATACATAGAAAAAACAACTTATATCAACAAAAACATAAGAATAAAACTTCTCATTAAGTAAAATTCTAATGAAGATTAGCCTCTTACAGCCTTTAATGTGCTTTGAACATCTTACAGAACTTGCCTCACCTATACTCAGATGTTTTCCAACTACATTTGTACAGATGCTAACTTATAACTTTGTTAGACATCTCTAACACATTTCTGATTATTGTTTGGTGGTAAGTACCATGTCACACCTCATACTACTAATGTAGCTGGCAAAATACTGCATCATAGGACAACAATTTGGAAACAAAGTACTTCAAAAGGGCTTGCTTACAGAATGTGTCCAAATTCTGAAACCTGTGACTGCCATGGAATTGAAACTTGGCAAATTTGTAAAACATTTTATGATATAAAAATCCTCAGAAAGCATTTTATGACATGATACAAAATGTTATAAACACTTTCTGATGTCTGACTATGCTATATAATTCAACACGGGATATTTTAAAGAGAGAAATATCTCTGAATGTTTTCTTAATTTTTCCAGAACCTTTCCAGTGAAGGAAGTACATTACAAACTCTGCTATTGTTGAGGGCATTGAAGAATCTGGTAAGGAAATTACCCCTACCTGCTGAGGGTTGTAAGGGGAGGGGAAATAGTATTTGCCTATATTACATGTGGAAAGAAAAATGACCCAAATTGTCTAGTTCTCCTATTCAATCATATAACCCTGTCTTCAACAAAATATAAACCTAACAATATAATAATATGCATAACAATCACTAGCATATTTCATCAGTTATTTTATTTGTTGCAAATGCAATATTTCTGAAATTTAATTACTGTATAATCTATTCTAAAATTACCTTTCCCCATTATTAAAAAACCAATTAGTGCATGAAATACCAACATGCTGCTTCTATTCAGTTGAATGTGGTTATTTAATACATTGGGAGTACCAACTATAACAATCTTAAAATGTCAATAATATATGTCAATGAATAAATAGCTATTAAATTGATGTTAACATACTCTTTCATACTGGTGTTGATTTCACTCAAACTAGGTACAGATTTCGAATACATAGAACTAGAACTTCTGCTCTGGTAATGCTGAAAACCCTCATCTTTTGGAAAAAGAAGCTGTTTTCCCAAAATCCTGTTTTAAAAAAATGATAATGAAGTAAGGAAATTTAATCTAGGCAGAACAGTTCAATTCAACTTGATATAAGACCGGAAACATAGAACCAGCAATCAATGGCAGCTACTGTTAAATAACTCAAACTATAAGAGGTTCAAACTATAAGAGACATGTAATTTAAGCCAATGCGAAAAAGGCAAGTTAAGTATATTGAGTAAAAATGCATGCAGAAAATAATAATATAATCAGGGACTCAGATAAAATAAATTTTATATAGACTTGCCTTAAGTGAAGTGATCTATTTGTCCAGTCTTTGCATTCTGTCTTTAGATTTTCAGTTTGGGAGCTCGCTTTTCCTTCAAACAGCATTTCATCCACGTCCCAAAACAACTGATGCACTCTCTGGGTATTCGCTTTATCAAACTCCTATGGATTTTAAAATTAAGATTCTGAAATACTATTTCCACATAGCTTTGCAGCTGAATAATATTACAGTACTGTAGATATTGGGAAGTGATGAGCCTGATTCTAACCTGATTCTAGCATCTTCAAGGTAAAGATACAGTATCCTGAATCCATCCAAGGAACTGCTAACCCCTTTCATATCTACTCAATCCATCTGGGCATCACACAGTTTAGAGAATGCACCCAGGAAAAGAAAAAAACACAAACACAGCAAAAGGGAATAAAGAAACAGAGAAATAATAACAGGAAGGAAAGAAGCTTAAGAGAAAATACCTTTGGGACACAAGAAACCAAAGATTAGGCTAAATAAGAGGGAAAAAAGAACAGAATACTCCTTGAATCTATTCAAAGATCTTTAACAGAAATGACCATAGGTGGAATCTTCTGTATAGTGAAATACAGGCAATCTCATTTAGTAGTCGCTAAGCAAAACCATGACTGTGCATACGAACTTCAGCTTTCCTTTGCTTTACAAGCCTGCCGTAAATGTGAGGACTATTGTAGTCTTAGAGTTATAAGTATAAACTGTCCCTAAATGAGGCAGCTATATAGACAAGGACTATTTATAACATGTGTGTCAGCATATGTGAGTTTGTTTGTTTCTGCTCCCCTCCCTTTATAATGAGTTTGTGTCTTGTGTACTGGATATTGTGCTGCATATTCTCTGCTCTGGGTGAGGTGACCAAACAGAAGTGTGAGCTGAGAATCAGCAGTTCTCCGAGCCAATGCCCCATTGCACCTCCTATAGAAATGCCTTGGAGTGATTTCTTCTGTTTTTATCAATTACATCCAGACAAATCTGACCCTTTTTTTAAGCTTTCTATCATCATATTAAATGTTGTAGACTGCCAGCTGCCAGCAGAGCTGGTGGCAGACTTGGACAGTGAGGAGATTGGGGAGGAACTTGGGCCAGTCCTGGAGTCTGGGGAAGGCTCTGATGGGTGCTCTGCGTCAGAGGCAGAGATGAGGCTAAGGCTTCCGACATTTATCAGATGCCTTCGGAGTCAGAAATGGGGAAAAAGAATAGCTGGAGCCTGTTCCAGATGCATGTATGTGCAGAGCTGTCAGGAGAAGGGAACAACTAAGAAACAGGGGTTGACTTGGAAGAAAACGCACAAATGGACATTGAATGGCCCCTCTCATAGGGAATAAATAGGAGCAAAAGGGGAGGGGTGTTTGCAGGAGACAATTAGTTCACTTATTATTGTGAAGATTTGCTTATCTGAATTCGAGCCTCATAGAGACTCCTTGCCAAGTATTTCCTTTTACAGTGTTCCGACTGGAAGCTCTCGGCCTGGCAACTATCCAAGGACTGATAAGGTCAGCTCTTGCACTTAAACCTGGGAAGGGTTATTGTCGGGACTGTTCTGGGTATGAATGCCAGGAATTCACATTAACCAAATTTAAAAAATGGAGGGCGGGGGCACAAGGAGTCTGTTTTGTGATTCTATTCAGCCTGGGTCAGAATATTAAATTTGGTCCAATTCTGCTTGTTTTTCAAAATTATCCTACCAACATACAGGAAGACACAGTAAGTCCCATTATATAATTTATTTCCAGAGATCCATTAGGTTGGGAATTAAAAGGGTAAATAACAGAATGAATGTTAGATTATGTAATAAAGAATAGGAACAACAATCAATTTAGGAAATGAACGTGGCCTTGAATATAAAATCGTTTTGGAAAAAGTGGATCAGAACATCACCAAAGGAAATAGAGTAAATGAAGGAAATGAAGAGAAGAAAAAGAAGAAAAATCCTGCTTAAAAGGACATTCATGGAAGTGGGTGGCATTCTTCTGCCAAAATTAGAAACAAACTGACTTCAAATCCAGTTGCTGGAAATGAGGGCAGGAAAAGATTATTGTTTTTGTGTTCTGCATGTAGGTTTCTACAAATTGGCCTTGATGACAAAATGATTTAGCTAGATCTCAGTTATTATGAGCTTTTCCTTTCTTATACAGCTAAAATAAGAAGGGAGGAAGGATTAAGAAAAATTACTGACAAAGAGTGACCAAAGGAAATACATGCACAAGATGAGTGAAATTAATTAGAAGCATACATACATACACACATACGTACATACATACATACATACATACATACATACATACATACCGTACATACCGTACATACATACATACATGACATACACACACAAATAGGAAGGATTGGTGACATGAATCAGCTGAAAGAGAATGAGAGAAGTGCTTAGCCAAAGATAGAATGAATGGAACGAAGTTTAAAATGAGTAAATTCAGAAGAAACGCAGGACTTGTGAAGAACAGGAGTTATTTAACCAATGTGTGCTGCAGAACAAAAACTACATGGAAAGAGCTTTTCATCGTTGACAATTATGTTTTAAAAAGCAGAATTAGGACAACAAGCAACAGCAGGTTCTAAGGGAAATAATACCAGAAGAATTTATATTCACTAGCAATGATTATTAAGAAAAAGGTAACCTTAAAAGCAGAAATAGAAGATTATAAAAAACGAAGCACAGCTGAGAAAAAGAATGGCTAAAATAACCTATAGTTTAGTCCAAGAAGGTCAAATAAGCATAGGACATGTACATTCTTCTCAAAGTTTGCTTATCATCATGACTTTAATATAGATAAGTCCTTGCTTAACAACTCTAATTGGAACAGGCAACTTTATCGCTAAGTGAGATGGTCATTAAGCAAAACATCATGTGATGCTGCATAGTAAAAACAGTCCCAGAAGTCCTAGTGGTCATTAAGTGGACATGGAGTCATTAAGTGACACATCTCATCATGGTTACCTGCAACTTCCTGCCAGTTTTCCCATTGACTTTGCTTGTCAGAAGCTGGCTGTTGCAAATGCTGATCATGTGCTGCACAATCCATAAAAATGTGTGACAGTTGCCAAGCACCCAAATTGTGATCATGGCCGTGGGAACATTGTGGCAGTCGTAAGTATGAGGATGAGTTACTTTTTTCAGGGCCATTCTACCTTTGAACAAATAGTTCCTAGGAAAGGACTACATGTATATTCTTTTACAATGAGAAATACAATTGTATTTTTATTTTATTTTTCTTCCTAAGTAAGAAAATGTGTAAGGTGATTTAAAAAAACCTTTTAACCCTAATAAATATAAACTATATTCCTTCGTAGTTCTTAAATAGAGAACCACGATTTAATGTTAATTTGAGGTTTTGTTTTTTTTGTTATTCTTTTCTGTGCTTTCAAGTCAGTCCTGACTCCTGGCAACAAGTCCTTGAAATGTTCTTGGCAAGGTTTTTCAGAAGTGGTTTGTCACTGATTGCTTTCTAGAGTAATCATCCTGTTGGCTAAAGTGGGACTGGAACCCAGGGTTTCCTGGTTTCTAGCCTAGTGCCTTAACCACTATACCAAATTGCCTCTCAAAATGTTGGTTAACAACCTAGATCTTTTATCTGGAAAAACTGTGATTTCAAAAATACTGATTAATTATCCAATATTCAGCTAGACTTTGTCAGTTAAACTTGGAATGGACCAGAATTAATGTATCAAAATTGAAAGTAAGAAGAGATAAGACTGTGAATCTACCTAAAAATAACTTCTATTCAAACAAATATTAAGCTCCACTGTTATCAGAAATCTCCACCATATTTTTAAACACATTTTATACCAACTTCACTAATGAAGGTTGACCTACATCATCGCCCCAGGAGTAAACAGAACTTCTTTCAGTAGATGGGCCAGTAGTATAGCTCTGTATCCCTGACCAAGAGTTATTCAAATCTGTGGGGGTTGTTTGTCCACTTGGTGAAAGTGAGGAAACAGAAGCCCTGTTGATAGAAACAAAATTTAAATGCAACGTTATACATCAATAAAACATGACCAGGAGATCCCAATGCAGTAAAAGATTAATAATTAATATGAATCTACTAGCAACTGTAGCAAATACAGGTGTTCTTGGATTATATGGCAGAAAAGCAATGACTATTTCATTGGATAGTAGAATATACATTTGCATATTCATTTCCATATGCAAACCTCCATGACAGATTTGCTGTAAAGGAACAAATTTACATAAGTCTTACACTTAATTGCTCTCCCAGGAGTATCTCTCCTGGGGCACCTATGGTGGAAGAGGAGCGGATGTCACTTACATTGCTTCTACTCCAAGACACATATTTTATAATTAGGTAAACGATGCCATTGTTTTTCTCAATATGGATGCTTTGCAATTTTATAAGTTGTTGTTATTTCATTTTAGTTTTTATATTTTAAAGCCATGTAGAGTTGCAGCCATGATTCTATAAATGAAATAAAATTTAAAAAGTATTTTTGTTTTTGTAACAGATTTTGATATTGTGTGCTATGGATTTAAATTCAACAGTCTGTATACCTATCTAAGTAGTTATGAGCTGCAGTCTTGGGAATACAATTAGCAAAATTAATGGAACTTCTAAGCAGTAGATAGGGAGGGAAGTATCTATCTATTCATCCTTTTATGAGATTTTTTATCTGGTAACTAGTTTGTAACTATATCTTCCAAACAGCCTTTCATATGTAAATAATGTTTTTCAGGTCTCTCTACCTTGATCCTTGGTGGTTCTGTGGATAAGTTTTATATTAACTTTTTGGCTATAATTTGAAAGTGTTTAGTCATCAGGGTAGTTTTTCAACCTCCTATCTCAGTCTACAGGAAGTTTGGCTAGGACTGCCATATCTGTCAGCAACCACAGGTGTAGAATTTTGTGGCATGTTAAAAGCTAATAGGTTCATTCAGCTGTAGGCAGACATACATATTCAGGACAGAAAGGAAAACAAATAAAGGTGAGGTCAAAAGTGCAAAAGATATTAATGTGCTCCTGGTATTAAAATAACAGAACCTGTTATTTACAGGACTGTTACAGGAGGGAATCTGACATTATTTTAATTGTATCTTTTACCTAGTGGTAAAAGTGGAGGTGGAGAACACAAGATGAGCAGGATAGTAAAAGTGGCTTTGAAATCCAAGCCCAACCATTTTTACAGTATGATCACATACATGTCACAAGATCACATATATGTAGAAAATTACAGGTCTTACAGGATGATCCTGTATCCACCTCCTCGCCCATTTTGTTCCCCATTCCTACTGAAATCCTAATGCTTATCTTTACTGAAGAAATAAATATTGTGTATTTCTTCAAATATTCATAGTAAAATGGCTCTTGATTCCAGTCCCAATTCCAGGCCTCCAAAATACAGTGTACATAGTATTATGGCTGTTCTAGCAAGACCTATTTTGTAGAAGATTCCTTTTAAGTTCATTTTCAGTGCTAACTATACAGTGTTTCAGGCAAACATTTTTCACGCACTAACCACTTGAATCTCATGCAAAGCGTAGGTCATAACCCAGAACTATCATATCTGCTTTATATCAAATCCAAGCAATATTTCAAAACTGTGTATTTCAAGTCATAGGACAAAAATCTTCCTTCTAGAGCTTGTGACTTTTTAATTTCCAGATAAGCCACACTATGAATTGTTTTAAAGATATTACACTATTGAAAATTGCCATGCTAGACTGAGAGGGGCTTGGGGAAGGAGAAAATGTAGAAGTGTTTTGCTCTTTGAAATAAAATCTGTCTTCTCATATCAACTTATCCTATGCATTTATTCACTTTTAACAATAAAATGGGATAAATATTGAATAAATATTTATTGCAATTTTAGAAATTAATACATACAAGGAATAGTTGTCAATTGCTTCTTGTACACTTTTTGTAAAAGGCGCTGGAAGGCGATATTCATTTTTTGCTTGAAAATGATGGTCCACAAGTCTTTTCGACAGCCCTTTTCTAAAAGAATTAGATGCAATTAATTCTAATTTAGGGCTTTTTCATTCATAACTTCACAATGTACAGTTGATGAACACTATTATCAGCGTATTGATGATATCTCACCCCATGGTGACAGAAGATCTCACCCGTTTTGTGTAGATGTTAAACAGGAACAGAGAAAGCACTGACCCTTGAAGGACCCAGCATAGTAAGGATCAAGGGTCAGATCGCTTGCTACAGAGCTCATTCTTTGTGTTCCACCAGGAGCACTCTAGACATAACTTGATTTGCTTGATCTCTCTCAGTTATTCCATGTGTCACGGGGCTTGATCAGATCCATGAGTCGAGAGAGATCACTTATTTAATCATATCTAAAACTTCAGCTACACTCCTATTCCAGGTGAAATTAGGGTCTCAGCAGGTCTATGCAGATCTTCACTTATAATCCCCGACTCCCTCTGAAACCCATCGAGGTCCATCAGTCACTGAGGGAAGACCAATTAATTGGTTCCACCTCCCTGCAGAGAGGTACAACCCTAGAGAAGTTCATAGCTATCAGATTGTGATAGGATTGTGCAAGGGGACCAGGGTTAGGTCAACCAATTCCAGATCACAAAGGCACTGCTTTGACAAGAAGACCAAATCAGGTGGGTGATCATTATTTCTAGCCTGGATGACTTGGGACAGGCCCATGGAAGTCATGGCTTCCATAAATTCGAGTTACTATACCTCCCAGGGAAAGTCTCCTGAACCATTAACCAGGTGAAGATTGAAGTCTCCTGAACCATTAGCCAGGAGATCCAACAACAACCCTGAATGGTGCTAGGTGCTCAGGCGGAGAGGCTGCTGCACACCTGACTACTCCTGAGCCCAACCCTAAGAAAAAGGGGCTCATCATTGGTTACTTATGGATTACATTATAGCACAGAAACATAACATTACTGCATCACATTAAAACAATAGAACAATAATTGTATGGTTTTTTTTAATTATATAATTTTTAAAATGCATGTGAAATATTTTGAGCATTCACAAACAGTATAGATATGCAATATTATCAAAATCAAGTAAACTTACTGTTCATGTATTATACCATAATGCTTATCCACCTTATTTTTGAAGGAGATAAAAGTCAATAATTATTGTATTACATCCCCCTTGCCCGGCCTGTCAAAATCAATAAATGGGGTTAGAAAAATATATAAAAAGTACCCGCTTTGGGGATCCATTTTTCTTTATAATTACAAGATGTACCAAGTATAAAGAATGGGGTAGCATCCAGCATCTAGTCCTTAAAGCCAAGCTATATAAATGCACTTCATGCACAATCTGTAGAATTTCTCTCCAGAAATTATGGCATGATAACTCTAATAACTTTGAGATTGGCCTTGATGCAGAAAGGATATAATTCTATCATTCTTCCAATATATCTAAATTTTTGTTCTGTAGCTCATATACGGAAGTGCTATACCTATATACAAAATAATAAATCTAATAACATTTTTAAAGGGCAGTTACTGTATATTTAACATTTGGTGCTGAATATACATATTAAATAACTTCTCACAAAAATGCAATTTTTACATATTACCATTTAGATAAACATCTATGAAGTACAAGTTGTATATTTACCATGGCCCACAAAATTGTTACTAATTAACCTATTCTTCCAGAGGACATTTTAAGGAAAAATATACTACTTCCTTATTAGATTCCTTATTAGTATTAGATTCTTCTCAGGAATATATTCCCTTGTATTAAAACCGCATATGGATTATCATAATACAGTACATGAAAAGGAATAAAACTTAACACTCTTAACCAAACTGAAAGGTTTTTCCATTTTCGTTCTACATAGATTGACCTGCACTATGTGACACTGTTTACATCATAAGGGGTTTGTTACTGCTTGTTTTTGATATATTTGCTCTGAATAAAATTGTCAACAAGGCAATGAACCTTAGCCTTGTCCTTAAACTCTTAATGAAAAAAAATAATGCAAAATGTCACCTAAAGCAAACTATTTTGTTTTTAGACTTTCCAGGTTCATATTAACAGCCCTCCTGTTTGCAGTGTATTAACTTACACCTTCAGAATTGTGCTGTGATATTCAGCTCATTGTAGAAAACGCATTATTCACAAGCAAGCAGCCCATCAACATAAAATCTGAGCCACAACCTCATGTATCCAGAGAAGCTTGCTTCCTTAACCCTCCCTTCACAAAATGATGGGATATAGAGGAGCTGAAATGAAATGCTGTAAATATATATGCCGATAGGAGAATAATCAAACAGTAGAATACACATATGTACATATATATACATGCATGCATCCACACCCATCTTGAACTAGCACACTGCATCCTCATCCCTCCTGACTTACCCTATTACAATCAGTTCTGACTCCGTCTCTGGCTGATGGGGGCTAGCAGCACCAGGCAGGCTGCAGGGACATCGTACCCCACTAGCAAAGCGCATGAAAAACACAGTCCAGGAAGCCTCCCTGCTCCTCCCTTTGAACGAACTCAGCGATCTCAGCCTCACTCTCACTTATTCCCAGTGAATCCTTTCATTTCTGCATGTGGTTGTTTCCTTCCCAAAGAGAGACTAGTGAATATGCATGCATGCCAGTGCCTTAAAGTGTGCAGTGTGGGAGTGTAAATGAAAGAGGAGGAGAAAGAAGGAATGGCTGCAGTTTTAAGCTTTCCCCAGTGTCTTTATACAGTTCTGTTTCTTCGTATATTCTCTCCCAGAATTCTCTTTTCAAGGCACGGTTACCAGATACAAACACATCTTTGAAATATTCCAAAACAGTCAAAATCAAAAGAAATAAGCAATGGAAAATAGATCTACACATTTCACCATAGCATTTAAAATCTTACCTTTCTGCAAAAAATGACTGATTTCTGTATTTCTAAATCTGCTGTTTGGCTATAATGGTCAGATAATTTATTTTGAAAATGAGGAAGGCCGTTTTGTATTTCTAGTTTTTTTAAAAAAATTCATGCCCTTTCTCTCTCTCCCACAAAATGTTTTTTAAAGAAGTCTCTCTCTCTCTCTCACACACACACACACACACACAAAACACACACACATTTCTTCTATATATTCATAATTAATTTGTGATTAGGTTAGCGTGGGACCCTTTATACCATATATCAAGGAAGGAAAGAAATTAAATAGGCTGGGGATTCTTTTATACTCATTCTTATGTTCTGCTAACTGAAGCACAAAGTTGTCCTACTGATCATTTTTACAGGAGATGACCTCACACTGCAGCCCTTTTCCCACTTCCCAGCCTACCTTGGAAACAGACTAAATTCATGTTTAACTGTTTCATTTTTAAAGTAAATTGCTTTGTCTTCTTTCAACATATGTTTTAGCATATAAATGTTCTATGATATATCCTTCCCCCCTGGTCATTGGAACTGTCATCCATCACTTGTGGTACAGAAGACATCGGACATCTGATAGGTGAGGAAGGAACCAGGAGTCACAAAGTGGCATATGTGCATTGTAACATTCCTTATAGGGAGCCAGTTTGGTCTAGAGTCCAGGCTAAGGACTGACTGACTCTCTCTCTCTCTCTCTCTCTCTCTCTCTCTCTCTCTCTCTTTTTTTCATACTGCTCTGACTCATCTAGAACAGCATGGGGGCTATGTGAGGATGCTTTTTGTGGATTTTAGTTCTGCGTTTAACACAATTCTTCCATGTAGACTAGTGTCCAAGCTTCTGGACCTTGGACTTTCTAATTCAATCTGCCTTTGGATTATGGATTTCCTGTCTGGCCGCTCACAGAGGGTCAGATTAGGTAATCATACATCTTCAGCCCTTATTCTTAACACTGGTACACCACAGGGTTGCATGTTGAGTCCCTTACTCTATACTCTTTATGTGCATGACTGCATTCCCACTCATGCTAGTAATACTATTGCTAAATTTGCAGATGATACAACAGTGGTGGGACTCATCTACGGGGGGGATGAGTCTGCCTACCGAGATGAGGTGTACCGGTTGCTTTCATGGTGTGGAGACAATAACTCGGTCCTCAACACCAATAAGAGTTTATAGTGGATTATAGAAGGAACAGATCAAACATCCAACCCTTGCTTGTCAATGGAGACTGAGTGGTGCAAGTGGCCAGTTTTAAGTTTCTGGGTATTACCATAAAAGATGACCTGACCTGGGGTGCTCACATTGCAGCACTGGTCAAAAGGGCCCAGCAGAGAGTATACTACCTGAGTCTTCTCAGAAAACAACAACTGAATGAGAAACTGCTGGTGACCTTCTACCACTGCACCATAGAGAGTATCTTAACTTACTGCCTCTGAAGGAGGATGTTCCACAGAGCAGGGCCCACAGCAGAAAAGCTCATCTTCTAGTCCCCACCAGCCAACATTCTTTGGCTGATGAGATCTGCAGCATCTGCAACTGAAGTAAACTCATTCTGCTCAACCTGGTTGGATGGGTAGAAACTCTTAAAAAAGAAGCAATCCCGTGTAGAGAATGTTACAGTAGTCTAAACTGGAGGTTACAAGGCCATGAGTTACTGTAAGCAGGGTCTCCTATCCAGGGATGGATGCACACCATTCAAAGGTGTGCAAAGGTATGCCTAGCCTCTTTCAGCAAGTGCCAGAAGCCCAGGAGAAACCTCAGATTTTGCTCTGCATCTCTTTGTGGAAATTCAACCCAATCCAGAACCAGAGATGGAGAAATATTGTTTCCAGTGATTTCAAATACCCACAGCCATTTTGTCTTGCTAGAGTTGAATCAAATGCAGTCCACAACAGCCTCCTGGGGGGATTGGGATAGGATGTCCACAGCATTACTCAAGGGGTCTTGTT